TTCTAATTTTTTAATTTTAATGTTTTCCCAAACTTAGTATAATTTAATAATTTTAATCTGTTCTTAGATCAACTTGAGTTGATCGTAACTTAATCTCCAAAAAACGGCTAATAATTAATTAAATTTACTCATATATTCTGTATTTCTGTGTTACATAAGCTGATAAGCTAAATAATAAACGAGTTGTTTGAGTTAGCTTATTAATAATTATATAATTTTTTTCGCGTGATTTAAAATCGATAGAAGCAAGAACTAGACTTTTTTTTCCTGTTAATGTCTTTGAAAATTTTACCCGTTTATGGAAGAAAATCTCCGCAGTTATTATTTACATTTTATTTTATGGACTTACACAATGCTTGTGTTTTATTCATGAATTAGTAAATTTTATCCCAATTATTTCATTGTTGCCTGTTGGTCATAGTCTGTAATATTAGTATATGCAGTTAGGTCTCGTTAGATGGTGATTATTAGATCCGCGGTTTTCAAAGTATAGTCTTATTTGTTGTATTAATTTGTCGTCAGTGAAACCCTATGTACTCACTTCAACATAGAAATATATCAGTATTAATAGTATTGTAATTTGTTCATGTTGACTGTGTTATAGTTTAAATTGGTCTTGAATAGTTGTTGTTATTTGTTCATAATTGGTGTGCTTGATTGCTCTGCTCTGCTTTGGTTGAATGTTCTGGAATACTTTAGAATGTTCATGACTGAATACCTACTCTTGAAATGCTCATAGTTGCTCTCGTCTACTTTTGCTGGGCTTGATTCAGCGAAATTGGATGAAGTGTAATTTTTGAAATGATGGTTCGCAGAAGTATCTAACTGCTTACTAGATTAGGTTTTGAAAATAAAAGTTTTCAAAGCATATATTATGTTTTATGTGATCCCACACCTGACATCAAATATGTAGGGAGCTAGATTTAGAAAGACTAAGTTAGCACCGTTAAATGACGAAATCCGCTTATCGCAAATAACACTTCAGATGCTAGTAAATTTGTAGTCAATAAATTATCACTTTAATAAAGATAAAAAGTTTATTTACTTAACTGAGACAAATTTACCGACAGCCGATAAGTTTATATAGTAGTAATCAACTCTTCCGGTCTGTTCAGTAATGAAATCAAATCATGTATAAAAACTTATGATCTCTACGTCCTTATTTATACAAAGTATAAGGGAGCAGTTCCCAAATAACACAGTCAAGGAAAACAACCAATGATGCTCGCAAGGAAAGTTATAGCGTAGGTTAAAATGTTAGTGGATAGGTAAACCTACCAACGTTATTACAAAATAAACAAAGAACTAAAATTATGTGATTTCAGTGTCAATCAGCTCAAAGTTAAAGATATAAAATAGTAAAAGGAAAAATACTAGAATCTGAGTTACTACATGACGTTGCCCGGCGGTATTCATTTTTATTACTATATTTATGCCGTCAAAAACTATGTCTACAATATCACCTACGCCGTTCGTTGAATGAAATAGATTTAAATAATGAATTTGGACACGTTTAAGTTAAATTAATAAACAAATTTTAATACTTTGAATAATATTAATAGTTATATTATAATGCACTGAAATACAGTAGTCATGCATCGCGTATCTTGACTGCCTTAAGAGCTATAATCATAATAATACAAGTAGATACTACAGTTATAATATGTATAAAGTATAAACTGCCACACCCGAGATTGTAATGTGTCGTCTCAGAATTCATTCTTCTCTTAAAAACATATAACTATACTTATAAATTACAGTGTATGGAATCTTACGTAACTAATTATACTAAGTGTATTGTTTACTTACAGTTATTTTCAAAACCGTAGCTCGTTGCATGAAGAAAACAAAGACTAGACGTCTAAACAAACTAATTTTTACCTGATTAACGTTTAAAAACATTAGAACCCCAATTTAAGATATGTATAAAAACTAAATAAATATATATTTTAATACGAGTATTTAACATATTATACAATTTTAAATTTATAACCATTATATTAAAATACATTTTAGTAAATTTTACCATACTTTTACTACAAAATGACCACATTTTAATATATCAGAATACTTTGAATTCTTAAGTTATTTTTCTCGGCTTTCTAAAAATGTGTTTTATGTGTTAGTTTTTTAATAAAATTAATATGTTCAGTTTAATTCCTCATAAGTCATAAGACATTAAAATAGGTTGATTTAAAATTAATTAATCAATTCTAAAGTATACTATTTCATAGAAAATCAAAATGACAAATAATTAAATAAAACAAGAAAATAAATGACCTCCAATTAATGTTAACTTAGTTTTATTCTGGTACATTAATTCTATTTAAACTATTGTAATTATTTAAAAAATCTAATTTGTAGATCACATTTATAAAATGTATGTCATTTATATTTTGTATAAAGCTACCTACCACTTAAATTTATAGGTACTCTTAAACTTTTTCATTTAATCTTTATCAACTATGTCTTAATAACTATTCTATTAACCATTTATGTTTATGATTATGTTGAACTATAGTTGTAAAAAAATTAATAGTTTTTTTTTTATTTTGTTGGTTGGGAAGTGAGGTTAACTCAAAATTGAAATTTTAAAGCTCAAAGCAATACCCACTGACATGTATTATATTATAAAACTAATTTGTAAATTTTACATCTTATTACAATTAACTATTTTATTTGTTTATTATTTGCATGGTTTTATTTATTGTACATCAAGTCATTATTTGGTTTCTAATATTTAGTTATATTGCAAGTTATGAGAAGGGAATGGAAAGATTCAGCTTTTTTTTTATTGTTCTCATTTTAAGCCCAGCTACAAAGATCATTGGCTATGGATAGGAGCAGTAGTTTTTTTTGTTTAAGTTTGTTTATAACTTTTGGTTAGTACGGTTGGAACACATGTTTATACATAAACAAAGTTAATTTATCACTAAGAACTCGAGTGGTCACCTATCTAAGAGCTTGTGACACCGGCCGATGCTTAACCTCAGAATATATTAATGACCGAGGCCAACTACCGCAACACACCAGACCACTTGTTTCAGTTTTATCATTGCAATGGTTGATAATTTTTTTTAAGGCTAATTATTTCCTATATTTTATTTTCCCAGTTAGATCACTAAACATAGAAGAAACTGAGTAAGTACGGCAGAAATAAAAAATGAAGCAAATAAGGTCTTAGGAGAATCTTACTGGTGTTCAAAGCACAACTTAATTCATATATAAAATTAAAGCAATTGATATAACAAAAATTATATTATTCTATGATTAAAAGCATTAAAATTTAACCCCTTTCACTATTCTAAATAAATCAGAAGGTTAAACTGTACATATGATTCATATTAATATAAATTTCATTCTTGGACAAATAAATAGTTCTAATAATCAAATTACTAATAAAAAAATCATAAGCCTGTCTGTTTCAAATCTACTATTGAGTTTTTCCGTAAAACTTGTATACATATTACATAAATATAAATTTCTATTTAAAAAAAGTTTGCCTGCATGGTGAATGAGTAAATAGATTTAGTTAAAATGCGAAAATAATGAATATAAATAATTTGCCATTTGGTGTACAAGCCAAACAACCAAATGATGATAAAATATTTTTTTATAGAAATAACCATCGAGACTATTTATTATTTATTAATTTTAAAAATATGAATTATTATCACAAGTTAATTAAATAATTTTAAGCTATTTACAAAATTAAGCATATAAGATATTTTTATATTTTAAAAATTTAATGAAAATTGATTAGAAGTATCACATTATAGGTAGATAACACAAAGAATAAAAATTTTAAGTTTAAAATAAGAGAGATATTATGCCAAAATATTAGTGGAAATTAATGATAACTGTTAATTCTAGAATTTGGTTGTAATATAACCATTTTGAGTGAATAATGGCAATAACACATGACCAATTTATCATAGTAAAAATGTTCAAGCACATGCTTTGTAAAAAATATTATACAAACTATTTTTTCTTTTACTTAAATAATGTACATATTTTAATCTATTCACAAATTAAAAATATATGAATATTTTTTTTAAATCCTCAATTTATAAATTTAAAATGTATAAAATGCGCATAGCATTACATTATAAAATCTATACATTATAGTTTTTTACTTTAGGTATAACTGAGTGATATTTTAGGTGATCTAATAAATCAAATAAGTAAGTACACAGCAAAACTCAAAACGCGCATTACTCTACAAGGGTCATATACTAGACGGCAACTAATTACAAATTATTAAACGTTCTGTTAAAATATTTAATAAAATTGTAATGGCTTGCAGTTTTAAGATAAGTTTAGGTTATGACAATTGACAAGGGTTATCGCCTTACCAAAAATTATATTTTAGTAGGTACCTTTACTCTGTATAACCTTATTAAATTATCAACATTAAAATAATTACTGATCATTTGTAAAATACTTTGCAAAATGCAGATAATCAAACTTATATTAGATTTAATTAATAAAATATAAAATTAAGGTAATTTTCATTGAAAACTGTCAAATATGTGCTTAAAAATAGAAAAAATAGAAATTATGCACTTATAAATAAAAAATGGTAAAATATGCAACAATATACATAGTAAAATTATGATATTTTAAATTATAATTTTGCATATTTAAAAAAAAATATGTAAAATCATAAACATCCTAACCCTATTTATAACCATTGGAGCTTCAGCATACGATCAAATATTTATTTTATCAAGTTTTTATGAAGAAGTATAATTTTTAATATTAGATAAATAATAATAATGGTCATTTTAATCAATAAGAAATATTTTTTTCTACTTTAATTTATTTTTTTTCTTTACATTTTTGTTTTAAACATTATTTTGAGCATTTAATTTGGATTATATAAAACACTTCAGTGAATACAAATAGAACCTTCTATTAACTAATTTATGTTTTAAAATTTATTCTTAACTTTTTTTAACATATCTTATTTAATATGAATATTAATAAAAAATAGAAATTTTTTTACAAAAAAATAAAAGTAAAAATAAAAATAATAAACTGCTTATGTATTAAATATGAACAATTTCAGCTGAAATATTGTTCTGAGTTGACCAACTGCCATCTTTTGGAGGAGCTATTTGAATTAGACCATACGTTCCAGATACTGCTTGTTTTTGAGAGTTATGTTTGATTAACTGTCCAATGTTGATAACCATACAACCATCAACTATCTGAAATACGGAGTAACTTAATTAAAAATGTATATCGAACATACTATAACTTTTAAAAGTAAAATATGGATAAAAAAAAAATTAACTTATTACATATTTAATATAAATTATTACTCTTATAAATGTACGGAGTTGTGAAGATGTTAATATAATATGTGGAGTGTTTTGCTGCAATGTACAATGTTCTAACCATAGTAGATTATCCACACAAACGTTAGGGTTAGCAACATATGAAGGGTGCAAACATCGTTGCCATATAATTTGTTTGGCTAGTTTAGTAAACATTTCTTCTCTGTAACAAAAAAATAAATAAATAAGAACATGCAGAGTTTAACTAAAATGAGCTTATCAGCGTTGGAACAAAAAATGTAAAGTAAAAATTAATAAAATATAAATCAATTAAAAAAGTTATAAGCTATTAAGTAGTATAAGGCTTTTTTAATTTCAAAAGTTAATTCAATTTACTAAATATTGGTTTGTTAACCCTTTAAATATCAAATTATAACATCAACTACAATTAATATTACAATATATTAATATATATATAAATAATTAAAAATAATCAATAAACTAAAAAATGGAAAACTTAATTTATTATTATTACTGGAGATATGTTGTTAATTTAGAAAATAAAGTTTAATACTTTACAATAATTTAATTTTATTAGAATTTTCCTTTGACAATTTATAAAAATATTTTATAAGTCAAAATAATATTTTATCTATTTAACAGGTATTTAATCAGATCTGAATGAATAAAAAAAAAGTTATACTTTTAACTATTATTATTTTAAAAATAATTTGTGTTTGATGTTTTTCTAGTTTAAAATTGTTTGTTTAGCACAAATACAAAAAAATTGTTTATAACAGTTTATATATTCCAGCTCTGGTTTAGGAGTGCTCAATGCATAAATGGTAATAAAACTGACTTTGTTTTGTTGATTGCTGAAACGTGTAGACCCATAAGAGAATCGCTAGCATTGCCGGCAATTATTATGTCATTGACAGAAAACACACTTGGATCAGATAACATATAAACATTGTTAGGATACAAATTTGGCAAGGTCGACTCAGTATTTGGAGGCGTTGGGTAGAAAGCATAATTTTCGGAATCTTTCCATGAACTTAACATCAACAATTTTATGTTTTGTGTTCCAGGATTGCTAGAATTAGAAAAAAAATACATTTAAATAAATTAACTAATTATGTTACTGTATAAAAATGTAATTAGTAACAGACCTAAACAACGGTTTCAGAGTAGCATCTAACACTTCGTCATAACATTGTTGAATGTCTTCTGTTGTCCTTTTGTTTAACTGCGGCCCAAAATCTGGATCAAATATCGGACCTAACAATATCAGCAATTGTGCTTCCAAATCGACTGTTTTTTGTATTAGGGATTTTAACAACTTTCCATGTGGAGACGACTCAGTAAAAAACGGTCCCGCGGCGACCAATAAGTTCAAGTTACCTGCACAAAAAGTATTTCACAAAATATTTTCATATGTTTTAAAATAATTTCAATTATAAGTCTAATTATTAGTCTAAATACTATAGCAAATGTTTTTTTATTGCTAGGAAAATATAAATCTATAACAACAACCTTTTGTAAAGCTTGGTAATTTTTTTGACAACGGCAACGAAGCATCAGTATAAAATCGTTTGACTTTAAATACTTTAGTATTAGGATTAGTTCCGGTAACAACTAAAATCTGATTCACAAACAATGATTTTATGGGTTGTTCGGCTTCGGACAAATCGAGTTTTATAAAACCGTGCAAGGAATCGAGGAACAATTCTTTTTTTATTAACCGCAAACTACCAGAAATAGTTATTTCTGTCTGAAATATCAAATAATATAATATATTAACTATTGTTTATTATATCATACTGTACATTATTATTTTTATTGAAGATACTCCACTTAAATAAGCACAATAATTATTATTCCATACACATACATTTTTTTTCCAATAGGAGAAATATTATAATATGTATTCATATAATACTTTGCGGACTTGGCGGGCATTCTTATTAATTATTTCTTTAAAATGGAGAACGTCATAACATAACTTTTTATTATTAATTATTATGGGACAACAATCATAATAGGTAGATATGGAATTTAATATAAATTAATATAGATCCCTACATTTAAGTAATTACAATAGCTTTAATATAAATTAATTAAAAATGTTTAAAAATATCTATTACAATTTATTAGTACATACAAGTAATTATTATCAATATTTGATGATTCATGTTTTGGGAAAGGGCTATGCCCCACACGGGTTAGGCTGAATTAAATCATTTTACGGGTTCTATTTTTCTTTTATTCATGCACTGTATTATACATACACATATTTCTTATTTATAAATAGTATTAACGTATACACAAGCTGAATTTTTTACTAAAGAAAACTAATTATTTCTCAATCAACGTTTTTGAAAATACTTTTTGTACATAATTTGAAATTATTAAAAAATAATAAGTAGATGATTTTTTTACTAATTTAATATTCTAAAAGTTTTTAATTCTTTTAATAACAATAACATTTTAGTTTCATTTTCTGAAGCAGAATTTATTTACAAATTAAAAGTAACTTTAAAGTTAGATATATTGATATAATATATATATCGAAATACTCAAAAACATATTCTAATTAAGAACATTAAATTAAAAATGTGTTATGTTCTTCCTAAAAGTAAGAAAATAAAAATTATAGTAAAAAAATACACAAAAATGTACGAAATATTATAAACTTACGTTGTTTCCACAGTACAATCCAGACAATGATGTTACAGGTTTAAGGTCATTCTTCTGGACAATATCATTCACTAACTCCTGAACATGTTCATCAAATTTTTGATAATTTACATGACCGAAAATGAAGTTATCCCATAATTCTTGCTTCGTTAAACACAATTTTTCTACGTAAACCGACGAATCATTTTTGTTAACATTTTCTAGTCCAAAATTGCACGTGACATCTCCAGTAGTAGAAAACTCATTTTCTCTAAATAATAATAGCAATATTAATGGTTCTACATGAATAGATTTATATTTGTTTTGATTTGGTTTTTTTGAATGGATATGATTATCCACCGATTTTGCGTTAATTTAGAAATTAGGATTAGTCAAGGTTTTATTATTAAGTATATACTATAAATATGACGTCTACAAAATAATTATCTATACATTTTATTTTATCATATTAATAAGGCAAAAAAAAGCGTCTTATAACATTTATAGCTGTTTTACTACTTAAAAATTTTCTTTTAAAATTACCTGCAAGTTAACAATATGTAGTATTTAATATGTTTATTGTTTATCAATCAAATGCCCTTCGTAAAAATTATAATGACACGTTTATAATACCTAATCAATAACAATATTATGTGGGTATGGGTTAAGTATATTATAGAATGAACACTTGTACCTATATATAGCGTACGAATACATCATGAGTATTGTCAGATAACAGGTGTAACATGATGTACAAATTTCCTATAGCAACTGATGAACATATATAAATTGTCATTTAGAGGTCTAACGACAGGTGCTTGTATATTATGTACAATATATAATATTAGGTCATAAAAAGCAACAGTAAATTAAAAATTTTAAATCAGATTCAGGTAAAAAACTATATTTTAAAGAGTGAAATTTGTATAGTTTTAAATTTTGGTAAATGGCAATAATATAAAAATAATGATCTACCTATCAAAACTGAATAATTTGTAAACGTTCGTGATTATTACTAATTTTATCGAATTTTAAACTTTTAACACTAATAAACAATTTTTTTTATGTATTATATTTAATACTTTAAACTTTTTAAAACCAAAAGTTTGAATCCTCATACTATGATACTCCTTAAGGACCTTAAATAATACAAAAACATGAAAACAGGTCTTCGAGTATACTTAAAACTTCCAAAAATCAAATTTTGATTAACTGGATTACTAAAAAAAGAAAAAAAAACAGGAAATGAGCAGTGAATCATTCTATGAATAAGTAGTTTAAGCGGTTACGAATTTTTAAATTTTGAAAAATCAACTTATAACTTTTATAAAGAACCTGGTTGAGCAATTTTAAATTCAAACAACATACATTCAATTGTTTTTTATTTTGTAGAAATACTGACTTATAACCATACCCATATATATTTGTATATATATATATTATATGCGCACACATTTACGAAAAAAATATATTTAGTTTTACACTTAACATGAATAAATAATAATTATTATCCACGCAACTAATTAACATAAAAATCGGTATAATTATTAAAGCTTTAAGCACTCTTATGTCTCTAACTAAATTAAATTCTAAACTTACAAATACGTATTTATTAAAATTATTGTTATTAATTAGTAACAAGAGTTGTACTACATATGTCTTTTATTTGCATTTAATAAAAAATTGATACTTATATATAGCCGACTAGGTTCACATTCCAACTATACTGGCTAAAACCGGGTATCGGACCAATGTGAAAAATGTATTATTTAAATATTAAAATAACATGTAAGCGAAATACTTAAACGATCAATAATAATAAAAGACAGTAGCTAAAATAAAATTATACTTAGTATACATACTCTTTTATATTATCTCCATCAATAACATCAGACACTTGGAATTCGTTTTCTATTTGTATAATATTAGTTCCATGTGTACTCTGAAACGTAACAAACATATTTATCAATTCAACACAAATGATGACTTTCAGAAAGTATAAATCAAAACATTACTATTATTATTATTTAAAAACAAATACAAATATACAATGAATAAAAATTAAAATATCATTCAATACCCATATTATTTAGAAAATTATTCAATTTGGTAGGCAAATAAAGACATTTGACTATATAACGTGTCATAATACTGTAACTGATATATACATGATTTTTAGGTTTCATAGATAAATTAGAGCATTAGATCGTCTCATATCTATCAAAATATAAGTCAATTTAAAACCAAGTTTGTTTACAAAATATGAATAACGTAGTTTAAAAATTATCAAAAGAATGATTTATTTTTTTAATCTCAATTTGATATAATTTTGCTATTAAGGTTATTACAAAATTAAATTAAACATAGCGGTAAAAACAGTACATTTTCAACATTTAATTTTCTGCTGTATTTTATAATCAAACGCCCGAGTAGTCATGATACATTACAAAAATATAAAGTGCACAAATATAAACATGACATTTGTTTTATAATTGTGAAGATAATTTTAATTCGTAGATCGTAAGCATTTTTTATGCTGGTATACACAAAACAGATCATTGAGATGTCTTGTTTTAAACTATGGTTTTATCGGAACGCATTTACCTACAAGTGTGTGGTGTATCAACAGTGGTTTTTTTAAATATCAGTTCTTCGTGCTAAACTCGTTACGAGTATTTTAATTTATTCACTAATAATTAAAATTAAAACATAAAATATCAAAAAAATAAATAAAACACCAATTAGATTATTTTTGATTATACATATAAATACGTTACAAATCCTGTTCAAAATGCACAAGTTCAATATTCTAATAAATCATAGTTTTAAAATCCTTGACGGTCTTATTATTGAAAAGGTATAGCTATTTCTTAGACAAGAAAATAATATAATTAATATACACACAAATATATCATTGAATGGTATTTCTCATCTCCATAATAGTATTGCTACGGAGAGATAATAAGAAGAGACACATAAAATTGTTGAATTAAATCAAAACCAGTTGATTCAATGAACAGCGTATTTTTTTAATTATATCATAGGCGGTCGGATTGCAATAATTGGTTAAATTGATTCCATAAGAATAAATTTTAACTCTTAACGAACGTGGCGAGAATATCTATCTCACAACTGTTGGTCGTTAACGAATGAATAAAAAAAAAAAAAAATTATTATTTAAAATGTCGTGTTGCGCAGTATTTATACAATTTTAAATTATTGTATTTATTACGCAATCTTTGTAAACACTAAATAAAAAGGATGAAAAAATTGAAAATTCTTTGAGTTGGATTTAAAATCCTCCACAAGAAATTAAAAAAAATATAAATCGTCGACCTAGAGTAAGCAAGTCTCAGATTAATCATTATTGTAGACTATTAATATTTATAGTATTTATACATATTAATATTTCTAACTATAATATACTTATAAAAAGAATGTTGATAAACAGGAACTTATCGTCAATTTCGGGTTACAGAGACTATATTATAATATTTTTGACACATATTAGCATACCTATAGTTGATATAAATTTCAAAACACTACTTAGTTTATTTATTTTCTTTAATATTATAATACTACCAAATAATCACAAACACGATTAACTGTCTGCTAAAAGAAATTAAGATTTCTCACTGTTAAACTAATAAATTTTTATATTATTTATATAACTAAATAAACATTTGAATATCAAAATACATACGTTGTAAGCTAACAGAACTCATAAAAGTCATTACAAACATATATATTCGAATATACCTTTAAATATTATAATATAATCTACATTTGAATATCAATAGATTAATTTTAGACTTTAATTACTCCGTCGATAATCTAAATGATATTCTCCCCAACAGTAAATATTTATCAATAATCACTATATAATTGACTACAAGTTTTATTTAATTAATGTTTCATTTTTCAATATTAAAGTAAAGCTACAAAAACAATATTATTTCTTCTATACATAGGTATATTAGGTATATCAATACCCGTTAATCCTATTTAAAAGTATTTTAGACTTTACAAACTCAAGAAATGTTGAGAAGTCCTATATAGGTATATAAATTCACTTAGATACTTTCTACAGTTCTCACTTAAGTTAATTTAATTTTTATTACAATTTTATATGCGTATAATTATTTATCCAAATATTTATTCTTAATATTAAGTAGGCAAATTTCTGAAGTTTTCAATCATTCGTTTTTCATGTATACCGAATCAATTTTGTAATCTAGAAAATGTCGAATTAACTTAATAAATTATGTATATTTTATTATTATATTCATATTACACACAATTAATGATTGGTATGATCGTTTGCATTTAACCAACAAGTTGACTCCAATTCTTTTCAGTATTTGTATACATTACATTTAAACAACATAGTATTAGGTATAATATAATAATAAATACACTAAACTTTTTTTATCGTTTTGTTATATTGAAAACATTAAGTATAAAGTACAATATTTGATAAAAATAATAATTCAAAAAAGATGTGTTTACAGAGAACAAAATCATAACAATAAATTACAAAAATAATAATTTATAAATAAGTTTGGAATAATATCCCACAATATATATTATACATTTTTATTTTATACAATATGCAACTGAAAAACGACACAACGTATTACGTAATAAATATGTATTATGTACAAAAATGAAGTTCCGAGAAATGTTCAAACATACAAAAAAAAAACATACACATAATAATTGGAACGAAAAACAAAAGTTTAATATTTTAAGTTATATATAACAACGTGTATACCCGATTATCGTACAGTAGAGTGAGCGCGGTCCCAACCGAAGAAAAATAAACTAGATGCACGTAAGTTGTTAAAGAACAGGTAAGCAGTTGATGAGTGTAGATCTAGTCACAGCTTTAAATATTCAGTGTCGACTAGAAAAACACCCACGGACCGTCAAACCATTGTACATTACGCATCGTTTACATCGCAGTTACACGCTGGGCGGCGGCATGTATCCATGAAAAATAAAAACCGTTTACGTCACTCATTCATACAGACATACATTCTATTATCATTATACTTACACATTAAAAAAAATTTGGTATTACAAAATAATCAGTTCAAGCGAAAACCACATCCGTACACACACCCGATTTAACGTACCGGTCGAGAATGGTGTATGTAAATATGGAAAAAAAAAAAACAAAAAATATTTATCACGAAAGCAACAAGTACAACGATCGTAGGTAATGACGTTAATACACGCATTAAGTTAATAATACTATCATTGAGTAAATATAAATTATACACGAGTCGAAATACGGTTACAATAATGCGACGAAACCGGGGACAAACGCGCGCACACGGCAAAGGTATCTGTTGTCTGTTGAAATGAAAAATAAACGTTCGTTTTTTTTTTTTTAATCGATAATAATTGAAAACACACGGTGTGAAAAAATTTAAAAACAAAACTACGTCGTAATCTGTTTAGGTTTCAATCGCGACGACGACGATATCGAAAAACGGTGGAATCGCGTCAGGAACGAGAGGACCGGACGACAGAAGAGAAAAAAATTGTGAATCGGATTTGAAAAAAAATATACGTGAAAAGAGAGCGGCCGAGGGTTCTCGTTCGTTGTGTGTGCGATACTGCGACGACATGCGCGCGTCGCGTACTGCGGCGAACGAATGCCGGACGCCGGTGTGGAAAGAGCCATTACGTGCGTGCGTCGTACGAGAATTAAATAACACAACAAAAACGTTCTACTTTCCCTCCACAAGCGACAATTTTATTATTACTACGATAATTATTATTATTATTATTATTATTATTATAACAGACTGGCGTGTGTGACGAACGGGTATATGAACCGGCGGACGAAACGGCAACGGGCAGCAGCAATTATTATTGACTGCGACGCCGGCGAATACGAAACGTGCAGGCCAAAGGGGGAAATCGTTATGACGCGCGCGTCCTACGGGGGGAAACGCTGCGGCGGTAGCGTCGTCGTCGTCGTAAGTCGTAACGTTTTCGAAAAATTAACGAAACGATAGTTTTGACCGCCAACAAGCGCAGTAATGACAAAATGCTGTACCCGCGAAACGCACAGAAAAACACAGACCGATACGAGCCGGGAAGAGAGTAAATGACAAAAAATGTAATGTGTGGGTTTACCGTTAGCAGAGACGTGCGGCGATCCAGAAACAGCGGCGTGGACGACAAGGCGGACTAGGTACCGACGGAAAAATGAGCCGGAGAGGCGCAGACGCCAAACGGCCAACCGGCAAACCGGCGGCGAAGGAGGGAACCGACATTCGACGCCGCCACTGGAAGGAGTAGTTACACGAGCGCGCGCGCACACACTCGGCCGAGCGGGATAAAACACAACCGACTCTCCGCGACGTTTTGGCCTTGAACGATACACACACAATCACACACGAGCGTGCGTGCGTGCGCGCGCGCGCAAAGACGACGGCAAACGCGGCAGAAAGGTAGAGAAGAAAAAAAAAAACCGACCGACCAATCGGGTGACGAGGAGGGGATCGCTGCGCAAATGCCGTCAGGTAAGATGCGGCGGCAGCAGCGGCGGCGGCGGCGGTGGCAACCGGTGGATTCCAGTCGGCTTTCCAGCATAATAATAATAATAATAATAATAATAATAATAATATTATATTATAATACATTATTGTAAACGCGCGCGCGCAAACTCATGCACACACGCGCACTGCGCACACTACACACATACACACGAGAGTTCCCCATTCCACGCACACGTTATAACTTATAATACACCCAGGTCAGAATATATCGAAGTATCACAAAGCGTATAATATAATAATATAATATACAACTCTTAGTATTTGCCATTTGGCTAATTATACGGTCGGACTAGGTGGCGCGACTAGCGGGAAAGTTGGGTATGCGAATTTTTCAAGTTCGCCGAGGTACACCGCGCTGCAGAGTAAAAAACTTGTATCGAAATGAATAACAATTTGAAGATATTTAAATTACTTAATCATCGTCTAGACACCTAGTGTTGTTGTTTACACGTAAATAAAATGTATAATAATGTGTAAACAAATACGACGATGATAACCATGAAAAATTATGTATTTAAAAAACAGCAAAGTAAATAAACAGCCATAGATATTTAGGTAAAGTGTAGATTCAGTAGGAAAGTTATTCATTATTAATTTACATTAACTATTAATATTTTGGTCGTGTAAATACATTAATAAATGCTATTGATCCCAACGAGTGAAATTAACAACACCAAGCAAATAAAAAAAAAATCGAAACACGCACTCGCGCGTCCCCTATACTATTACTATTATGATTTCGTGCAGAACTACAAAACTCGAATTTAAAGGTTAGGGGCACACAATAAACATGGTTGTGCTACCACCACAGCCACTGAATTCTGACCAGGATGATGATCGCCCTGCGCACCGGAGCGTTTCTTTTCACGGCCCGTTATTTTATCGTCATCGTCATCATCACCATTATTATTATTATTATTACTATTATTCCGACGCACGAACGAACACCGCGCGCTCCGTTCACCGCGCTTTTGTGTTAGGTATACCGCCACCACCGGGCTCAAACACCAGTCTTTTCATATTCGTATTTCCAAACACGATTCAAAATTGAATACAACAAAACATCGTACCGGTGTGGCGGCGATGTGTTATTGTGTTATACCTTATACGAGGACGATACACGCGGCGAATACGCGCGCACGCACACGAATGCCAGTATATATAATATATGATATATATAATATATGTATATATATATATATATATATATATATGTGTGTGTGTATATTGTACATAGATGATAATGATTTAACCTTCGATCGATTTCGGTTTCTCAGATTTCACTCGAAAAGACAACCACCAGCACCACCACTTGTTGGCGGTGGTTACGGCCCGCTGAGCCGGGTGAGGTTTTTTCTCATACCGGAATCTCAACACGCGTAGTCAAAAATAATACAACACGATACTGACATACTGTACACACGGTGTACCAATACACAATTTTATTTAGATCACGCGACTTTTATTAGAATTCCAAACGTAAAAAAACACATAATATCCGACAATAATATTTGTATATAATTGTGTTTAACTTTTTGTTTTGTTAATTTAATGTGCACAGACGGATTCTGAGTATCAGACTGATGTTGCTTTTTTTATTATCACGATGGAACAATCACATTCGTCTATTAATTTACCATACGTAAAAATAAATAACATCACATTGGTACCTACTCAATTTTCGTACTTAAGAGAAATAATTAGTTTATAAAAAGCCATTAAACACAATCAGTTGTCAACAACTAGTACACATTACAATTTACATGCCTAGCTTAAATTATTACAATACAAACGAGGTATACCACTGTAAATACACCACAACTCAAAGAAAGAACATATGTGAAGAATATGAAGAACTCAATATTCATAGCTTTTTTCTTATAAAATTGCTTAAAAAATAAATATCAAAGAAGTTATGACTAGTTCAATATTTTTTTTTATAAAATATAACAAATTATATTTTAATTCCGATATTTTGTGATTCTTTTACTATATCCTTTTATTTTTAGTGGGGAAAAGCTAGAATTGTTTTGAAGTATGTATCCTACCAATGGAATATAGACATGCCTAAAACCTATATCATAATATTATATACAAATAGTCAAATAAAGTTGTATTAAAAACAAATAACACAATAGCAATAAATAGCACGAATAGCATTAAATTTATATATGTTATATTTAAATATATGTTACTAATAACATATATAAATTTAAGGAAAAAAGTGTTTATGAAAATCAATAATAAAAACACTAACATTAACACTTTCAAAAAATGATATTAAAAATGTAATTAAAACATTTAAAACAACCCGAAAATAATTAGTTTATATAACATTAAGTATGAATAAAGGTACCAACTATTAAAAACAAAAAGTGTAACAGTAAGAGTTGTTAGAAGTAATTAACTATGTAATAACTTTTAGTTTTATTAATTTTTAAACATAAATATTAGATATGTATCGGGTGAGTGAGTGGAGTAGTAGACCAACATTTTGTGGGTATATCTTCATACCACTTCACATCGCTCACAAAAATTTTAAATATTTATAAATTATAACTTGTAAACTACTTGTCGAATTTCAAATTTTGTGTATAGAAATATTCCGAAAAATACACTGCTTTAGATTATGAAATTAAAAATGTATGTAATCATTTAAAAAAGTAAAAACTCAAAAAATTATAACAATAAAAATACTTGTAAATATTTTTAAAAATTATATCGTTTTTTGAAATAATGAATGATTCAAAATAAAATAATCATTTTGCATATTGATAAAAAAAAAAAATTATTACAGAAGCAAAATTAGAATATTAGAATATATATATATAAGAAATTAGAAAAACATTTAAAATATCAAAAATTGTGCATAAATAAAGTTAAATCCAAAATAAATGCAAAATAAAAAAAATTTTAAATATCACAAGTATTAAATTATATTAGAGAAAGATGGATAAATTAAGCTTTAATTTAATAAATAGAAGTCAATAAATTGTTTATGAAATATAAAGTATAAATTGATAATTTATATTTGTTTAAATGTAATTTCATCATTATCCATCAATAGTATGCCAGTGAATAACATAAATAAATTAAGTAGAATCAGTGGTAAATGGCAATACACTAAATAATATTATGATAACTAAACAGTAAAAAAATTCAAACATGGATTAATATATTATTTAAGTACCTATTAGTAATATATTTTTAATTTCAACTTATAAATTTTTTTTTTTAAGTCGAAATATACAATCTATATCAGATAACATAGTAAGTAAATATAATAAGAGACAAATAACATGCGTATAAAGAATAAATAAGCCACCCAATGATGATACTTTAATGTTGATTTTAAAAATTGTGAAATAAGTATTGACTTTAAACTTATAAACTTAAGTATTTAAAGGTTCATTAATAAGAACATTGAAAGGAACAAAATTCCTTTTCAAATTTTCTGTAGTAACTTTTTTATATTATTTTATATCTTATAAATATTATAAATAAACACATCACTTTAGTATATGTTGTATATTACTTCTAAAAACTTAACTTTATATCAATATTAAAAAATATACAATAGTATACAATTTCATGAAATAAAAGCTTTCAACATTGTAATAATAATTAATAGATAAATTACAAAATAAAACAAAAAGTTTATATTTTTATAAGATAATTGAACTTTAAATTGTTTATAAATTTTAAAAATGACTGAAGATTTAAATAATAATTAAAAGTACTTTTGTAATTTAATAGAAAAAAAAAACCTTTAACCTTTATTGCATTTTAGTAATGTTTAATGTTTTAAAATTAAATTCTACAATATTTACAGTTAATCGTTTCAACATAAATAAAAAATTTATAAGATAAAAGAAGATAAAAATATATAATAATATTTATTATTAAATATTTAAGTTGGACGTAGATTAAGACATCAGCAAAAGACAAATTTTTGTGTCCATATGGGTCACTTGATTAATATTTTATGACAAAAAAATTGTATTAATTTGTAAAATTTTATTTTATAATCACTACTACAATATTACTTCTTTAAAATTTAACAAACTAACTAAATATTAAACATTCATACAATTGTAGATTAAAATATTTAAAAAATATAATAAATATTTGTTCTATATGTACATTTACATACTGGCATTTTAATTTGATGCATAAAACAATAATATGACTTTTTTATACTCATTAGATTAGCAAATTTTAAATATTAAAATAACATGATATATGGTAAACAGTTATATGTTTTTTTTTTACACTTTTAATAATATATAGATTATTTAATTAAGTCACTATAGACAAGGAACTTTTTTTCAAAAAGACAACAACTACATAACACAATCATTTAAAAACAATAAAAATTCAGTAAATATATATATATTTTTTTTTAGGCAAAATCGTGTTATTTAGTATTTAGTAATGTTCAGGATAAAGTATTTTAATTAAACATTTTAAATTTTATATTAAAAAAAGATAATAATTTAAATTAAATACATTATTTTATATTCAATAACTAACATAAATGTGTCAATCATGTAATACCATAATGTTGACATAAAATATATCAAGTGTCACCATCGATAAATTTACAATGAAAATGGTTCGTTCCAAATAATGTCTCCAAATCATTAATATGAGTAATGTTCAAATTAATTTGCAATACGACTAAATAGTTTAAATGCATGTCAAGAGGTCAATAAAAATTAAAAATATTGTAATCATTCTATGCCTTTATTGACTGAGTATAAAAAAAAAATTAAGAGTCCCATAGCCTGTTATCATGGTCAATCAATAACGTTTAATAATAAATTAATTACTTACTTTCAATGATGATGGACTATCAACTAATTCTGTAGGAGCTGCTGATTCATTTAAATTGGATTTATTTTCAAACAATTTCCTGTAAGCAATAACTATGTTATATTTTTGATATTTATAACGTTAACAAAAAAAAATGTATGTTTTAAACTCAAAAAAGTATGGAAAATACATTTATTTTAAATTTATTTAGTCTATTAAGATAATATTTTAATTGACTTAAAATTACTATTATAGTACATTAGTAAATTACTTGTCATTGGCTTTTAATTTGTCATCATCCTTGAAAGATTTAACTAAAGTAGCAAGTCTATCTTTGTTTAAATCATTTGAATCGATTTGAGATGATGCACAATATGCTATCCAAGATCCAACTAAATCTGATGCAGATATTTTATGTGTATGACATACAATGACACCTAAAAAATAACAAAAAATATTAGATTTAAGCATATGCTAAGATTTGTTACTTTTAGTATACTATAATCAGTATAGATCACAATAATTTTATATTTTTGTTACACTTTACAGATAGGTACTTATGTTTTTTTGTTTAATAACTAATGTTATCATTTTTTCTGTAATATCAATACTTCAAAGTTAATCAACATTATATATTTATTAATTTTGTAATTTAAGCTTTAGTAGTGATGCATGTAGTATCAAAGTAAGATAATTTTTTTCTATTCAAATAAATAATAATAATATTTGAGATATTTACTAAGTGTTTATTATTATAGAAGAAATTATAAAATATTTATTTTTTTTTTTTACTTTATATTACAATTTATTGATTGTTACAAGTAAATTAATAAGTTTTTAATTTTTTGTGAATGGATATGTTAGAAAATGTTATGTTTATTAAAGGATTAGTTATGATACAATTACTATAAAATATTTTCTATTTCTGATACAAGTACCAGAGAAAGTAATAAATAAATACCAAGCAGATTACGAGAAGATTTTAATGTTAAATTTTGTAAACAATCAAGTTGATAGTAGGACTTTGTGAGAAATAATAATATAGGACAAATGTAAGATACCACAAGTGTTTTAAATATAATATTTAAGTATAATACATATAATAATTTAATATTAATAATGTATTCAAGTAATCAAGTACTGGTTTGTTCTAGCCTGTCCTCAGTAATCGAAAACTTTATAGCCCCGCCACTCAGGTTTGTTATTTCCCCATTATTCATAATAATAGATATAAAATAGTTTATTTAACAATATAATATTAATTAAAAATGTTTAGAATTTTTTTAAATAATACTTAAGCGATATAATAATAAAAATAATAAATTTATATAATAATATAACAAATAAATAATTTAATAATTCGATTAAAAAAACGTATCATTACTATAAGATCAAAACATCACAGTATGTTTTTGTTTGTCGTTTTCAAATATTATATATTATTATTAAAATTAATTTAAAAGATTTATTAACATAAGTGCCCACTATAAATACCAGAATTCATTTTTTCCAGTACAAAAATATCATAGAAATGACAAATACACATGAAAATGGTCACATAATGTATTTTAAAAGGGTCGCAATGGCAATGTCAATGAAGAAATTGTTGTAAAGAGAAAGGTATTAGAATTAATAATCGGCTGAACAGTTCGAGACTACCAATAAATAAAATATTTATATTGTATATTTTATAATTTTTGGGCTCATAAACTTACTTCAATGACATATTACAAAATTTAAATTTGAAAAAATACAATAGCTATTACGAGAAGTTTGTGTTTGGTGTATGAAGAGCAAAACTAATTAAATAGGTGGTCAAAATAGATGAGTCTTTTTACATATCAGAAAAATAATGCAGAGTGTATATTACCTAACAATAAACATTCAATGAAACTAAGAAATGTTTTATAATGTGTATACCAAATCAATTAGAAATAACATTGATAAATACCTATCATTAACTAATATATTAGATATGGTTCTATTATCACTATATTCACTTATATGTTATTTAAATAGAGCCTAAACATTTTTAATATTGTTAAATAAATTCATTATTTTATATTTATACTATGGTATTTATTATTATGGGTAGGAGGAGATAACAAACCTGAATAGCGGGGCTATAACAAACTAATACCTATATTCATGAATAACAATTAAATATAAATACTGTAAATACCAAAACAGTATATTAAATATATCTTTTTATTTTTATTGATAATAAAATATTTAATGCAAAAAGGTAATTTTAATTTTTGAAGTTTTTGTTAATTTTAATGAATAAAACATTATTGGTAAACGCCTCCCACTCTTTTAATAAGAATAACTTTTTTTTTTACTTTTACAGTTTGATTTTATCATATAAACATTTAATATATGTATTTGACAAATAATGAATAATGTAAGAAATGCTAATTTATTGAAACAAGAGACAATAAAAAAACATGTATCATGATAAGTAGCCCATCAAATACTGTCAGCAGGAATCTTAACCATTTATTAGTTAGTATTATGTAGTTTCTTGTGTTGGCTTTTAAATAAAATAAAATGTTATACTCTTGCAAACTTCCAAAATTTTTCAATAAATAAAGTAGATAAATAAAAATTAAATTTAATAATTATAGGTATTGTGTCTAGAAAACATTAACATAAGTACTAAATTGGTAAGTATAAAAATATACCATTAATAACTTATATTAAGTAGTTCGCGCAATCAATAAATTGCTAATACTGACAAATTAAATAAAATGTCTAACATTATAATATAATTTAAAATATAATTCATGTATATGATAAAATTAAAATATAAAATCTAATAATATTAAAATAAGCTTAACTGAAGCACAATTTTAAAATTTAAACTACCAATTCGTAGAAGCTGGAATTATATGCATTTGCATGTTTGTACATAGGGTATACACATAAATGGAGATTTGAAATGTCTATGGTTCACTACATCAAATTCAAATAACATGCATATTTAATATGTATTTAAATATAAATCAATTTTACAGTAAAAAAAAATTGTTGACACCTTTGCTCAGAGGATTTTTGTTAAAATATTGTTATAAAAATTGTCTTAAAAGCAATTTCCTATTTTAATTATAATTATTATAATTAAAAATCTAAAAATGAATATTGTTAGTGTGTAAAATATTTATTTATAGCATATAATTTTAGTTTTATTATTTTGAAAGCTTATTGTTAGATTTTCACAGTTTTAGAGAGTTATTTTAAATTATTTAATAAATTATTAATATAATTGGTGTAAAAATGGTGTTTTTTTTTTTTTAAACATATTTTATTGAATATAATATAATTCTATAATACATGTTTTGCCACTTTTTGTATGCATATTTGCATCATATTTGATAGTTTTTGATTGCAATAATTCCAGGCTTTACACATTAGTAAATCTATGATTGTAAAATAAATCATTTTTCAATAGCTATTTGTAAGATTTCTTACTATTGCATTATACTTTTAGAATACTCAAAGATTTTATTCTCAAGTCTAACCAATCTATGCCCATATATATTTAATTTCATTTAAAAATTACATAATACAAAAATTTTCTCAAGAAAATATTTATTCCCACCATAAGTAACAAAAAGTATGAAATGATATCTATGATCACCAAAAAATAATGTTGAACAATTTTGCACAGATCGTAAATATTTCATCATATTTTAATATTTAACACTTTCAACGCCGCTGACACGTCATATACGCATCAACAGAGTTTATTCCATTGGGCTAGTGACGAGTTTACGCGTCAGTAACATGTACATTTGTATCTATCATAATTTAATCGATTTTATTTTATTAAACTCTGAAATGTACACAGGATGTAGACAATAAACTCTAAATTTAATTCTATAAATGGTTTGAGTTTTTGATATTTTTAAATACGAATAATCGTTTTTGACGACCTTCCCAAAACAATGTATATGAACGTATACAGAATGTATTTTAGATATATTATAAATTTTTCTATTGATATTTAATCATTTACAAATCATTACAACTATTGTAACATACTGTATTATGTAATATTTTTCTATTTATTATATGGTTATTTTATATTAATATCTTATAAGTTTAAATTTATGATATATAACATGTGTGTGTACTGTCTAAGTATTTTATAGATAAAAGATAACAATAAAGTTGTTAAAAATTAATATTAAAATGTTAATCAACCTTATGAATTAATAGAGTTATGCTTCTAATGCCATTGACGGTAAACGCATTACGGGATAAAAAACATGGAGTCATGGTATAACTGCCGAAATCACGGGCAAAGTTGAAAGTGTTAAACTATTTGTCAAAATTGTGACAAAAAAAATAGACTAAATAATTTTGAAAAAAGATATAATGCCAAATGACATTCACCAGTTCTAGATAACGACATTAGATTTGTATTTTATTACTCATACTTACATTCATCAATGATGTCGTCGGGTATGGACATTCCCATGTCTTCAAATTCGTTCACTATAATCGGGCGGTCCATGGCTTTACTGTTGGATCTTAATGAAATTGTATAATGTAAAAGATTATCTTGGCACCGAGAATGACATAATATTATGTAACCAGGAAGAACTAAATAATATGTTAACGTTTTCAATTACAATTATTAAAGATGTAATTTAAGTCAGAATTGTTTGATGTTGCAAATGTTAATTTATCAATTACGTTTAAAACGAATAACTTAAAAATAATGTTAAAAGATTAATTAAAACCGTAATAAATATAACTATACTCAATGTCAATCTTAATATATCATTTATCTAACAAATTAACGAAATAACGAACGCCGAAGTGCCGAACAATCAATAACCAGTAAGAATAAAAGACACAAAGCAGTTACAATTCTAACGAGTGTAATCACATTTATAACGAAAACAAAAATCGGCGGTATAACCTACAAACTCATTGTTTACGTAAGTAACGGTGGAATTATGAACGAAGGAGTGAAGTTTTGTCGTGTTTTCTGGTGCATGGACAATAGGTAAATTCGACAATGGTCCGAAAATATTCCCTCGTAATCTGTAATACACTAATATTTATTTTTATTTTTTATTTTTTTATTTATAAACGGTTAACATTAAACAAATCATATTTTAATATTAATAAATCAATATTTTATTTTATTTTATCTACTCGGTATTAGACTATTTTCTATTAGATTTGTACAATTTTAACTTATTCATATTTTATGTTTAAAAACATAAAATAAAGTATTGAGTGTTTATCGTACAAACCTTCTATTTACAAATACAATAGGTTAATAGGTACGTCTATATGTATATTAAAATGCGAGCCGAATTTACTCCGAATTCTGTAAAAAAAATTTTTAGTTCATAACTTGTGACACCTTAAATATACAATTAATGCTATAGATAACCGATATTTCTACATGCTGTAGGTTTAAACAACTGTACTATTTTAGGTAATAATAATTAATAGATCCTTACAATTAGATATTTAAGCATTGTATTGTACTCTGACCTAAGACGAATTTGTATCCTATTCAATTTTTAGTTATAGTTATAGTTTTTATGAATTCTGGTTTTTTAGTTTTTTATTTATTTTATCTCAGAGCTTAGATTATGAATATACCTACCCTAATACCCTATACATATAGAAAGTTACTTAATCCTATAGTATAATATGTAAAATGTATATTATGTAACAATTAAATTTTTTCGTGGAAACAAAAATTATTAGTATGTGACATATTTTAATAGTTTAGGTATGACGCACAGTATTTAGTAAAATTTTAATCAAGAAAACGTGCTTATGATAATAATTATGAGAATCACTATTTAATGTATTATAATTATCAATATTAATTAAAAATTTAATTACATACCTTCCATTAATGTCTTAACAAATGTAAATGTGTATCTATATGTTTCATAAAAAAAAATATATTTATGTGCTAGCAGACATACAATCTAAAATTGCCAAAATTTGTCTAATCTAACTCTTAGCTCTTGTACTTCTTATAGTACCTATTTAAATTTAAAGGCTCCAAGTACCTAAAATAATATTATCAACTTCAATATACTCAAGGAGAAAGGTAACTATTTAAATATTTACAACATAAACCATAATATATAGAGCGACAAAATTAAGATGATAATCAACATATTACTTTAAATTGGTTATCGTAATAATTTTATCACTCTATAAATATTAAGAATAATAAATTAATAACTGTAAGTAATAGGGATAAACAAAAACAATTTTCACTAATTAAATGATTATCAATATACCATCATATTTTTTTTTGTAAAACTTGTAACACATAATACACTCTTTATATACACGTTACATTTTAGACCTTAGTATAATCCTCATTATCTTGCATGCATTCTATTTTTTTTTTTTTTTGTATTTAAACTATTCTTGCCTAATGAATACAGAAATAATATGATAGTTCATAATTGTAATATACTTATAAATTATAATCCCTAAATACTCAGTATTTTTAAAATTAATCGAGAAAAACTAAAATAAAAATCGTTTAATTAAAAAATGAAATAAATAAATAATTTAATAAATTTCTAATTATATTACGTCTTATTTTTAAAATACAATATATACTCACTACTTAAGGGGCTTAATATGAGCAATTTTAATTAAAATTGAAAATATTTAAATATTCCTTTGTATATTATGTGTATGCGTTTTGAATTTATAAAACGAATACAATACATGTGGTTATAATAATGCATTTTTAATGAATAAAACTAAGATTAAAATGTTCATCTTCATTCTACAAAATCGATAGTTTAAGTTTTAATATTTAAAATTTTTTAAACTTAATATCATTTCAATTTCTTTATAGACTACAGCTGAATGTATTATTAGTGGGCGAATTAGATAATTTAAAAAAAAATTTCGAGGAACATGTGACTCATATTCCAAACTTTCCTTCAATAAATTTAGATAGAAATCAAGAAAAAGATAAGAAAAAGTTTCCCATTTAAGATTTTCAAAACAATAATAGTTATATAATATCATGTTTTGAACTAATATTATTTCCAAGCTTGTGCATTGAAGTGGTTACTGGTAACAACTATGATATAGTTATAGTATGATTTAGTTATAAATTAAAAATTAATAAAAAAATCAATAACTGTAAATATTTCAAACATTTCCTAAATATAACTTCCTTGGTTTTTTTTTTTTTTTAATAGTTAATAATTTATTTAATTCACAGACAATATAATTTTCAGTTTGTTGTGAACTAGGTAACAAAATTATTTTATTAAAAGATGCTGATTTATTCAATAACAAGATACACACAGTAACTTCATAGCTCTCCTACACAGTATAGTTTTTACAATAATTAATATGTTTTTTTAAATATATTTTCGTGTATGTAGAAACTTTTATAGTCGAAAATAGGCTTCGAACTTTGAGGGAGTTTTTTATTTTCCAATAGGATCCAATTAAGTTTACATGAAGTTGGTCATCCTATAATGCCCGAACGACCTCCAAATCAATGCTAATATTTTGTAACTGATATTTAAAACTATTTAAAACTCTCTCCTTTAGTGGGTCCAAATAAATTGTATACACTATTCCTATTTTTTTCGTAAAATGTTATTTGTTTTTTTCGATTATTTTCAAAAGCACTGCTTGTGAATTTTTTACTTTTGCATCTCAAATTAACAACTTGATTAAATTTTCTTTAAATATGATATAATATTATATAGCAATCATTAATAAAATAAATGTGATGTTTTTTTGGCGAAAATTAGTTTAACGCTTCAACATACTACAGCGCGTGATACAAATATAGAAGTTGAGAAATGAAAAAGACACAACTTGGAATCGTATTTCCTATCTTCGTATATAATAATTTATTATTTAATTTAATACGTCTTTATGGATTACGGTAACATATTCAACTATGAGGTATATCGTATATCTTTAAGACTACTTACTGACTAATATGTAATGGCTATACAGACTATACAGCAGAGCGACTTCATTAATTTTTATTTTTTTTTATTTTAATATGTGACCAAATATTATTAAATCTATGAAATTCAATACGTACACAGAAGAAGTAGTGAATAATAAAAATAATATCCGCCACACATTCCATCTAATAATTTGCATTGAACATTCTCACTGCACATTTCTCACCAGTGTCTGTAAAACTATAGAATAAAAATAGTAACTAAAATTTAACTATATTTTATAGTTGAGTAGACTAAGTTAGTTGTTTTTCTATTTGAAGCGACCAGGATTCTATGCCACCTCGTCGTGCATTACTGTTGCCGTGTCTATGTATTTTGTTCTAGCTGCGCTGCCGGCTTCCTCTCTCAAAAAATGCCCAGCTTAGGAACTCAGTTTAATTCACGAACTTCGATGTTATACATCTCAATATACGGAAAATGATTCAAACATTTTGTTCAATAAAACACATAATAATTATTTATTTTTTATAGATATCAGGTATGTGTTAGCTGTTAAACAAACGAATAATTTAAGAAATATTTTCTATAAACAATTGAACCTTACAAATATTTTGACTCTTTTGAGTTATTAATAAACACAAAAAATTATCGGAAGGGGTTTTTACGAGTAGTTAATATTATTTTTTTTTTGCTAGGTCATTCAACTCAAAAATTTAATACAAAGTTTCTTATAAATTGTTCTAATAGTTTATTATAAATATTATTATAAATATTAAAAATATTAAAAATGCATAGTCATAAATTATTTTTATAAGCATTTTAAGTTTAAATTTTGACAATATTATACACGAATATCACAAATATTTATAAATTACTTTTTAATTAAAAATGCATAACATTTTAAATGTTCATTCTTAAAATTTTAAAATATAATTCAAGGTTGTACATAAGTATTTAATATTGAAAACATTCTAATAATTTTATATGCACATTATTTTTTTACAGTCATTTGAAGTTAAAATTAGGATAAAAATATATGTTTTAACGAAGAATAACAATGTTGTATTAGAAATGTTACAATGTTAGACAATGTTAAATATTTGTTATAATTTAAAACCATTATATTCGTGGGAAATATTAACGTACATAAATATGTTATGAATGATAGATATGCAATTTTCAAAATAAGTAGGTAGATTTGTTTTGAGTATTAAATGTTAAGATAATACTACCTATTTATAATATGAATTTATTTATAATGTTTTACGGTGAGTTGATTTTGATTTAAAAGTTAATAATACAGTATATAATAATATCATAATGTGGTTTATATATAATATATCATAATAATTAAATATTAATAATATAATAAATAAAAAATGTTTTCGGAAAAATTTTCGGGTTAATTTTTACATTAATAGTAAAATAAATTTACAATATCAAAAAAAAAAAAATAAATGAAATTCGTACGATAAAACTAGTCGGATAATTTTCTAAGGGTCGATTTTTTATATGATGATACATCATTGTACATCAAAACGGTATTCACATACCCGCCTTTATATAAATGTATATATTAGGATAAAACAGCTAGATATTTCATATAATAAAAGCACAAATCATAGATAGTGTTACCATCTTAGAAATAAAATTAAAGGAAAAATATTAAGAAAAGTGCGCAAAAATATTGTAAGCTTTTCCTGAAATTCAACATTTCGAACACTACGAACAACATTCTAAATCTAATTTAACGTCGCTCGATTCCTGACGCTCGCTGACGTCGGTGTAAACCTAGTGCAGTGTGGTGTAGGTATTTCAGTGCAGTCGGTATTGTTTTCCGTCCCAAACAACCAGGATTCCATGCCGCCTGAATTACGCGACTCGCTGTTGTATTTCTCTACACAGCCGTTAGTCGTTACTATTCCACCAAGCGGTGTAACACTATGGCGCACTTTTTACATTTTTAACCGAAAAAAAACACAACACGATTGCGCATCTTTTACTTAATTACATTTAAGTTCTTGCCACTGGTTAAAGGTTCAAAATAAAATATTACCATTTTGAGTGATCATGTTTTCATGCTAAAAAATCGTGCGTGTAACGGCTGTAACACACGACTGTCTTCTTAGTAATAATTATAAATTATAATGCTGTATAATACTATAATGAATGTGTATTGTGTATAAGTATGTATATCAGAGCTGGCTTTAAGCTTTAAGTTGATACGAGATTTGACTCAACATTTTTTAAAGTATATATATATATATATATATATATTTTAAAGAATCTCTGTCTAAGGCTGGTTTTGTATTTATATATAATGTATTTTTATTCACAACAAACACAATATGCGTAAAAAAAGCTCATAGTAAAAATAATGTTTTTTTATAGGTATACATACATACATTTATAATAAAAATAAAATAGTTCACTACATTTGCGCAATACAAGTATTTACTTATACTTTGTTTCTGAGTAAATAAAATCATTTTCAGCTATAATAAAAATATAAATGCATCTGGAGATAAATTCAACAGAAATGTGTTAAATATGTTTTTAATCTTAATGTGAAAGTTATACATTCTGGATGTGTATTCTTTCGTACTATAAAGACATTTATGAAGAAAAATCGTTGGTAAATTTCTGTACATTCATGTTTTTATAAAAAATTTAAAACAATTAAATTAAATAATGGATAATAGAGAAATTGAAAAATATAAAAATAACTTATTTATTAGATAACTGAAGTCTTAAGTTTTTTAAATCTCCATAATAAAAGGTGCTGTGAACAGAATGAACAGTGAACATACCTACAAATATACGTATACTTACTACTTAATACAGTGACTCATTCGAAACCTTCTACACAGTAGAGCGGTATCCGCACTTGCTCAACTTTTATTTTTCAATCAAAAAAACTTCAATAAAAGAATATTTATTTGTTTATTGTTCTGTTTGTATCTTAAGATTATTCAAATACTAACATGCATTCGGATACTTTAATGGAATACGTGTTGGTGAACTACCGATGGGTGTTTGTAGTATTCTTCCTCTTGCCATGTACCGTTTTGGGAAAGATGTGGGCCGCTTTCGAAAAAATGTCATGGTCACGCCGCTGTCGTACCGGACTTAACCACGAGAAAAAAGTTGAAAACATTCAGCGTGAGGTGAATACGCTTGTATAATATATATATATATACATATTATACAATATTAGTAATATTACTTAATTATGATCAAAACATTTTGTTACTATTATTATTATTATTATTATTGTAATTACTTTGAATGTCAACTGATCGTTAAATGTTTAATATTTATATTTTCTTTTCCCGTGCAGGTACGGTATAGAAATGTACACGCTTTAGACCGTGTAATGTGTACGGCCAGACCTAGCTGGAGAAGTATGACTTTGGCTGAAATGACGTACAAGAAACGCATGTTCAACATAAACGTCCATTTGGATGAGATGATTTCCATCGATAGTCACAGTCGAGTAAGCGATTATCCGTACATTTAATTGGTTTAGCCACGAATTATAATTTATAATCAATAATCATCGACAGACCTTACTCTATTTCAATAACTTAATGTATTTTATTGTAGCTATTCTTCAAAATATTACGTTTCCTTTTATTGCTATGTATATATGTCATAAATTTAACTCCGTTGGGATGTTTAATTTTAGAAGAAATTACTTTTATTTTATTAGTAAAAAAAAAAGTCTGTATAAATTTACTTTACCGTTTTCTGCGTAGATATAGGTATACCAAATCTAATCGGTTTTTTTCTATACTGACTGCTAGAATAAAGCCTAATTATTGGTTTAAAGTAATGATAAATATTTTTTAGTTACTTCAATAATCGATAAACTCATATATATTTTTGTTTGTTTTAATTATTATAAATATATTTATAGACAGTCAGGGTTGAACCAAGTATTACAGTGGGCCAGTTAATTCCAATATTGATTCAATCGGGGTGGACAGTACCCGTCGCCTTGGACTTGGAAGATTTAACTATCGGTAGGTATAGGTATCGTAAATATATTATACATACGTCATATATATGCTTATTACAACTAGAATCGATTTTGAGATAAAATAAAAACGGTTATAATTTAAGTATAAACATTATGAGTATTGAAATTATGACGTATTCACGTGGTTTAGGCGGATTAGTTATGGGCATAGGATTGGAATCTTCATCTTTCAAGTTCGGATTGTTTCATAAGACGTGTACCCGATACGAAATAGTCACAGCTGAAGGTGATTTGATCACATGTTCAGAGGTAATCGTATAATAACATAATATAGAACTTACCTAATTTCATAATATATTTACATGATATATATTATATGAAAATGATTTAACGCGTAATTATTGATTATTATTATGTGTTGTAGTCGGAAAATCCAGACGTTTTCGAATGTATCCCATTTTCGTACGGCACACTGGGATTCTTGACCGCTATAGACATTAGAATAATACCGGCAAAAAAGTAAGTACTAATCATAAACCGGAGCAAATCAATTACGAATAAAAAAAAACTACACTTGTCACTTACATTTAACTGTCACTATTGCTGATAGTCATGGGTTGTATCAGCCACACGTACGAAATTGTACATGTGGGCAGGTGTTTAAGACTTTTGGAGTTCCGTTTTGAGTATAGGTATTGAAATTTGAGAGGTTATTTCTGGACAATAGGTATTATACTAAAATTAAATTATTAATTTGGTATATCCAGTTAATTAATAAATAGGTAGTAATTGACTCCAATGTAAAAGTATTTTAAATGTTTTTCAATTTCTAAAATGAGTATTTATATTTTATCGTAATTTTCACTCGCATAGTATATCATTGACGATCTTTTGAATACATCAATATTTATTATTCTAGACAATGTTGAACATTAGTTAGCGTAAAAGTCAAACGTTTTCGCTATAATCATTACGTTATTGTAGACATCAATGATTTTATTGCAACACCATAAATTATAAATTGGTGAAAATTATGAATTATCAACTCAGTGATTTACAAAGTTAATAAATATTATTATACACTCAATTTATCTTATGAAAAATATTTCAATATAACACATATAATATTATAAATTAAAAAATACAATTATCTTCTCGTGGTGTCCTCCGGCCAACGATAAACACAATTATCATAGAAATAATAAGATGACTTCAAAAAATTTTGGACGTAATTTACGATATGGATAACATTTATGCTTGAAATGTATTGGGCGCAATTTACAATTTTATTCTTTCTTTGGGCACAATTAACGTTTATCCACCAACGCCCTGCAACCCCAACACTACAACAATGCAGAAGAATTCATAAATTTGACGTACCGTGGCGATAAAGGTTCCTAGTGTTCCTACCTATAATATTATCATATTTCATGTGCCAATATCCTACGCAATAAGTAAGTATACATTTTTTTTTTTTTATGACAAAAAAATATGATTATTTTACAGAAATGTTATATATTATTATTATTATTATTATGTATTTATTTTTTATTTTTTTTATATAGCTTTCAGTACTAAACTATTACGGATCGACAATTAAATTAAATAAACATATGGGTGGATAATATCACATAGTAACTTATAAACATCTTACATGATAACTAGGGCTCGGATTTTGTAGCAAATGCTTCTTTTGAAGGGAGTGTGATAGAAAGATAATTTATTCATATATATATAAATAAGTTTTGAATTGTTTTGATCTCAATGAAGTATACTTTTTTTTACTTTTTTCCACAAAACCTGCTTTTTGTTACTTTTCCTCTTATTTGGTTCTTTTTTTCTTAATTTTTACATATTTTTCTTGAAAATTTAACTTATTTTTATGTGTATTATACTTGGACTAAAAATACCATATTATTATTGCTAGAAATAATAAAATCGGTGAAAAACCAATAATAAAAGGATGATTGATAGAATAATTATTGTCACTTGTCATTAAGTCAATATTCTATAGTTTTATATTTTTATTTGTTATTATGGAAACGAAAAATTATCTGAGTTTTATCAATGTATTTTTATAGCACGTTCTAATACTTTAGTTGACCGGTAAATAATTAAATTTAACAAATGCTTTTTCTTTTGCTTTTAATGATTATTTAAAATAATTTTTTAATAATTTATTTTACTACAAAATCCAAGCCCTAATGATAACAATTATAAAATAAAAAGATTAGATTGTTTGCACAATAACAAAATATATCTATTAATATAGTTTAATGAATAATGATTAAAGAATAATCATTGGATAAGTAAATATTAGCTATAGAGATAAATGTTTACCTGTAGGTATTGGCTATATCATTCATTATGTATTAACTATTTAGTAGTTGTGTTGTTTGTAAACATTAATAAAAAGCGATTGTTTACCCTTCTTACATATAATCGCAGTATTTATCTTAAAAAATCTTGTTTAGATATGTCAGACTCCAATATCGTCCGATTAGTTCTTTGGAAAAAATTCAATCCAGCCTTATCTCAGAAACACTTGATGTAGAAAACAATGATTTTGTCGAGCTACTAATGTTTAGTAAAAATGAAGGTGTTCTGATAACTGGAAAAATGACGAATGGCAATCAAAACACAGTAATGAACTATATATTAATTATTATTAAACATGTTTACCGATATACCTACAAGTACATAGGTATATTATATATTATCGTTATCATATTAGTATTAGTATAACATGGCTGTGAATTTTATATGATTTTTGAATGTCGATGAATTTTATTCTAAGTTCAATAATATAAATTATATACTAAAGAAGCGCATTTAAAAAAAGACATTTGTAGCCTGTACTCTGTAGGTACTATAGGTGCGTTATGATTTAAATACAAAATATTATAAATTATATTGTACATAGGTATAAAGGTATTACACCTATAAATTATTGTTAATGTCCATTTTTTAGTTTTATTATTGTTAACGTCATCACGAACGTTAGAACCTACGTTAAAAAAAAATAAAAGAGTATTAGTGAGGTACAGACGTACAGTCTCCCTGCATCGATTTCCCTTCAATCTAAGCTTTGATTCTGTCAATAAATAATTTTTGTTTTTAGTAATTTTGTGACCTATATGTTTATTTATTGCTTTAATGTATAATATTATACTTGCACGTTTAAACACATTTTTAATAAATTTATAAATTATTAATTGGATTCTTTCATTCTTTCAAACCACATAACATGTATGTGAATTCATTATAGCAAGTTTATTTTGAATAATCTTACAAATGTTGAAATCTTAGTTATGTCCCTATTTTGAGCACACACATTTTATTAACTTGGATTTTAATCATGGTTTTTAGTATGTTAGATATACAATTCTAAATATTATTTGTATTTGTTTATATGAAAATAAATTTTTATTTCCTAGAAAAACGTTAACGAAATTGGTAGATTTTATAAACCATGGTTTTTTAAACACGTTGAGTCATTGTTATTATCACAGAAGTATGCCGAAGAATACATTCCATTAAAAGATTATTACTTTAGACATAATAATTCTTTATTTTGGGAAGTACAGGTAACAGCTGTTATAATATCATTTGTAGAATTTCATATTTTTGTGTGTTCCAACTATAATGAAGTATATTATTTGTGTACAGGATATAATACCTTTTGGAAACCATCCAGTATTTCGTTATCTATTAGGATGGATAATGCCTGCAAAAGTGGCACTACTGAAATTAACACAAACAGACACTATTAAACAATTGTACGATGAACATCATTTTATAGATGACTTTATACTACCAATTTCAAGTCTGAAAAAGTCTGTGGAAAAATTTCATGAACATTTGAATGTAACCTGAGAAAATACACTTATTATTTTATGAACACAATAATAAACAATTTCAATTCTGTTTAATACAATTATAGATTTATCCTATTTGGGTTTGTCCAACTGTTTTAAACCCAGGCCATGGCCTTGTACATTCATATGCGCCAGTAGACAAAATGTATATTGATATTGGTTTATATGGAGAACCCAAAGTATCCAATTATAAGTCAGGTATCGCAAAGGATTTAGAACTATTTGTACTCAAGTTAAAGGGGTAAGTTAAATTCTATAAACGTTTAATAAAAATAATTTTTTTTTTTTTTTTTTTTTAATTAAATTTTAGGTTTAAGATGATGTATGTTGGTACTTATTTGAATGTAAGTGAGTTCAAGAAAATGTTTGATCATCATTTGTATCAGAGTACTCGAATGAAGCTTAATTGTACATATAACTTTCCAGAAGTCTATGACAAAGTGAATAAAAAAGTTAGAAGATAATAATACCTTCAAAAGCAAAAAATGTTAGCATTTAAAATTATCTCTAATATTCATTTACATAACATTTAAATTTTCATCATGCATCAAAAGATGTAATTAGTAATAATTTGATTTTTAAATATAACTTATATTTTCTTTTACTAATTATTAAAAACTGTGACAAGCTTGTAAAGCTTATAGTATATCTCATAGTTAATGTTATTAAAAAAACATAAAACATTAGATGATTTAAAATTTCATGATACTTAAATACATTGTCAATAGTATTTAAATACAAATGAGTTAAACATAATGTTTGCTTTTGATTATTTAATAATAAAGATCATCATTTTAACTATACAAAATGACAAATTTTAAAACATAGGTTTTGTATTTTGTGTTTTATTTTTAATCAAAAATGGGAAATACAATTGAATTGATTATTTTAATAGTTGAATAAAAAAAATTAATAATAAATGAACTGTAGAAAAAAATAAATTTAATCATTCAATATTGAAAAAAAATCACTTATAGTCAATTACACACAATGGTTAAAAAAAAAAAAAAAGTAAAAATAATAATAAAAAATAAAAAGACTCAAAACAAATTGATGAAAATTATAATTTGAACTAATTTATGTAAACCAAATTTGGCAATTATAAAATTATAAAAAAGTATGATTACAAAAAAAAAAAACTTAAATTATATAATACTGATTGACCCTAAATATCTAGTGATCAATGGTTGAACTCAATTATATTTAGTAAACACACCTTATGGAATATAATTTGGTTAACTATTCAAGATGACATTTATAGAACTCAAAGGTTGATAAGACAAAAAATGTATTTCTTAGGATAGACATTATTTTGAATGGAATTCTTTGATGCATAATTTACAACTCCAGCAACCTTCAGGTGGTGATGTAAGTGGTGGTGTTAAGCAATACACATGATAACCACGGTCACAATCATCACAAAACAAAAGTTGATCCTATTTATAAATAAAAAAAATGATAACTTTTAAAATATTGTTTTGAGTATAAAAATATTATTCTTACATCATTATCTGATGTTCCACAAATTGAACAACATTTGCACTCGATGCACTGCCAACGATATTTTCCAACAGAAATTATCATATTTGCAGTAAATTGAAGACATGTTGGATGGCCTAAAAACATGAAAAAATCAGTGTATTTAGAAAAATAAATAAAATTTAAAACACTTCTACCTGAACGACCACAGTCTGAACAAGAAATCAATGTTTCTGGTTGACCAGATTTATTAGATACTTCATCGCCTAAACAAAAATCACAATATGGTGATGGATTTGCAGATTTGTTGCCTCCGGATTTTGTTTTAGTATACCCCTAAAATTGAACGATAATTATACAACTTATATACATTTAAATTTTATAATACAAATCATTACTTCTCTTGAAACTGCTTTATGTGATGTTTTTGCTGGAGTAGTAGTTGATGAAAATGTTGAACTTGCAGTGCTTGAAGCTGCTTCATTTGGGTTCAATGTCACAAGAGGAGAACTGTTTTGATGATTTGACATTCTAGCTGAAACCCGTTTTGAATGAGGAGCAGGAGAAGCCACCGGAGTATTGTTGCTGCCTGAAGGACCTGAAACATATTACCATTGATTCGGTCCAATTGTACCTTGACCAAACCGTGCATTTTGGGTCTACAAATCACAATGCATACTTCAAATAGTCTTGTAGTAGGGAAGTAATTATTCCCAGAGGTGTGATGCACTGCAACTTGCACAGTTAACTTTATTCCCTACTCTTATAATTTATTATTATTTATATAAAAATAATAATAAAACGATAATATAACATAATATAATATAATAATAATAATAATAATAATAATAATAAAATTCTATGACTAAATAAAACCAACTGAAAAACTTAACTATACTAAATATAACTACCAAAATAATATAAAGCTATTTTATTTTATTTCTCCATCGTCAATCAACATTTTATTTTTATATTAATACACATACACAATTGATGTAGCAATGAAAATATAATATTAAAAATATTTCAACAGTAGTTTTTAATGTTGCCATACTACTATTGAAAGTTTTTTAAGTTCAATTTATTACAAGTTTAAGTTTTCATTTAAATAAAAAATTCCATTACTAATTTATTGTAATAGTACAGATAGTACAATAACAAATATGAAATAATTATTCTAAAAAATACATAAATGTACATATTTAGACATTTTAGGAAGAAAGAAAAGGATTGCTATAAAAAATAAAACAATAATTATTTATAACTTTATGGTTTATTTAGATTAAACAATTTTTTATACATAACCCAAAATATGTCCATAGTACAGCACCCCTTGCCTTAATGAATTATATGGACTTAAAATAATCAGAGTATAACTCTGAACTGAACACAAAGGGACAATTTCCAATTTTAAGACAACTATATAATATATGATAATAAATGTAGTTATTTATTTTAATTAAAAAAGATATGTGTTTGAGATAATTACTTTATACTACAAAAGTTTGAATATATTATTTAAAATAAAGTAAAAATTAAACTCGGATCACTTTTCTACAACGAGTCATCTTAAAAATGGATTTTGTTCAAAGAATCATGATTGACCAAATATAATTCCACTTATTTAAAAACAATTCATGATAAATTCACATTCATTGCTCATAAAATATGTTTACTCAAAACTAACCACTACCAGGTACGCAGACAATTGTGTTAAAAACAAAAACATTATGATGTGTATTTATATAAATATATTTATGGTTTTAAATTACTGTTATAGTAATTGAATAACTAAAAATTTTAACATAAAAAATTTAATTAAATATTATAAATATAGAAATAGAACTGATTAATTATGTTTTTTAATCATAAACATTCATCTATTTTATATTATAACTGATTGGTTTTTTTTCTCATAAAAAATAGGTGAATCACTCTTTGAAATAAAAAGTGACCAATTGATAAAAATAAAATTTATAATATGAATGAGGTCAGGTAAATATTATTTCAGTAAAGAGAAATATTTATATTAAAACTTATTTTTACTGTATAGACTGTACATATTATTAAAAAATTTATGAAAAAATAGGTCCCATTTAAATATCTGCATTACCAACAGTTAAGGTATAATTTTTTTTTTTAATTTTAATAACTTTTACTGAAGCAAATGAAAATTAAAAAAAAATATATAACTAAGATATTTTATAGGTAATAAGTATGATTCTCATTTAGAAAAATTATAAATTGATTTGACAAAAGTTGTACTATTCAATACGTAAATATAAATTTCAAAAATAATTTAAACAAAAAAGAATAACATTTTTAAAAAAAAACCGACTAGAAAAAACAAATATTACTTAAATAAACAATAAATGATGAATTTTATGGATTTAGAATGTATTCGTGTTTTACTTTATAAATTAGAAGAAATTTTCATATGAATAAGTTAATTTGAAAAGGAAACTTGTATTAAACAGATTTATCGGCATCTTTGAAAAAAATAAGAATCACATTGATTTACTTTAAATCATATAAAATTGCTTGTAGATGTTTATAAATAGTCAATAAGGTATATTAATTTTATTGCTTAAGTTCCAATTTGTAAAGTTTTTTTTTTATTTTATGAACAAATTTAAATTGTTTCAAGTTGAACCAATAAAAAATTCAAAGAATTCAAGTATAATGTAACATAATAAAATAAAAAAATGTTGGTACTAAATAAATAATATAATATACTTTATAACATTTTAACTCTTATGAAAAACTAAGCATCTCATATGCTCTAACGACAATAACATTTGTAATTAAAGAACTCACTATATTCTTTCTAACTTTCCAATAAATAATAAACAGATATTTCTTTATCATATTGTAAATTGAAAATAAATAAATAAATAAGTCAACTGCCTAGTTAAATGATTGGTGTAGTTATAAAATATCACAATATTTTTTTTTTTTAGAATTCACATCATTATAAATTACATAATTATCTATATATTATAATAAATTAAAATTCATATTAAACTGTACAATGGAGGGAAGCTCATGATTTGTCCCAGATTATTTGTGTAATACTGAATTTATAATGTGCTACATATTAAGCATTTATATGCTTATTTAACATGTTTCATAATAAGGCAATAATTATTTAGTAATACACAAGGAAATATTTATACAAAATATCTATACTAAGTGATTTAATTCAGTACAATATAGGGTTAAAATTCACTAAAATAAGTAGGAATGTCTGATGTCCACAAAAAAAAAAAAAAACAAAACATTTAATTTTAACAAAATAAAACAAATTATAGCTATTAGAGTATTCTATGCTATTGTGATGTTATTATTTTGGTTTAAGGACCGTGGTTAAGTCACTGCCACCAGCATTATTATAATGATAATGTTGCCATAAATTGATGTACACAAGGTATGGCCCAGACCTTCACCACTAAACCCATAAATAATATTTTCTGTCAATCGGGACGTCTGCCACCTCCATCTTATCCTTCAAACAAAAACAAACAAAAAGAGGGGCTTTATTTTATTTTTATTCTTTGAAAATTAATTATGAAATATATGTTTTTGTTTAACGTCACATTCAAGCGCATATGCACTCGCCACACATGCATACACAGAGCTGGGACAAATCATGATTTAAATTTGAAAACAATTTGTATTAATAAGATAAACAAACCAATCATCAACGGACAACGAAATATTCTGATTAAAATAATGAGTTAAATCCTAAATCAATTTATATTCATTACCAAGAGTTATCAAAGTTGCTGGTAAAGCATTGTCGTTTTAAAGGTCGATAACTTTTTGAAACATTGTTGTATCGAAGAGATGGAGCTTAAAATCACAACCCCTTATCCATACAACCAAAGAGGCTTTAATATTACAAGTCTACTTAATACTTGTATTAAAGTCTTTTTGATTTTAATTCATGCCCAGCTCTGCATATAAATGAGAGGTACAGGGAAAACACCCCATATCTATAAAATGTTGAATTGGAATTTTGAAATCTATTAAAATTTTCCCAATGTATTATTAAATTAATTAAATCATTTTTAAGTTATATTAATATAAAATAATATGTGCTTGGAAATGATTTAACATTAGTGCTAAATAATTTGAATGAAACACAATATATGAATTAATGATATTTTATATTCATCATTAATATTGCTAATTTCCATGTACCCCTCATAATATGTATACTGTTGATTATGTTGTTAATAAGCACAAATTACAACATAAATAACAAAGTACAAACTACGTAGAAAAATTAAATACTAGTACTAAACTTTTTTGTTTATGGCATAAAACGACTAACGCTTACCAAATTTAAATTACATTATTTATGTGTGTGATTATATTAATTGCCTTAGATTTAATTTAATAAATATAAATACCAATAATAGCCCATGAATTAAGTGTTTGGATAATACAATGTTCATAAAAATATAGTAGTCATATAAAATACAACTAAAAATAATTTTAAAAGCAAGTCATAATTGAGTTTGTTGAACTATAAAGCTAATAAAAAAAAAAAAAAGAAATATATTTTGAAAATTAGGTGGTATTATTATGAGATTTAATATAATTGTTTACTATTTAGTCCAGGTAACATAATTAGTACCAATTTAACTTTCATACGTTATTTTAAATTAAACTAAAGAAAAACTGAATATTATTTTAAAATTCAACATCAAATCTTAAGCAATTAAACATTTAAAAAAATATGTCAACATTACAGTTCAATGCATTAAATAGTATTCACATGCAGTAAAGTTTCAAGGTGGTGTATAATTTATAAATACAAAGTTGATTAAAACTCGATAAAATCTAGCTTCAAACTTATGGCCTTAGTTTTTACTTCACACTACTAATAGGAATGCAATACTATTATTACAATGCTCAAGAAGTCTATATTCATTGTAAGCAAAAACTTTATAATTTACTAAATACATATTCAATAGAAAATAATTGTGACACTCATAAGGGCTAATCACATATAACGAGTATTGGACTATGATTTATACTCAGATTGCATAACATAAACAATTTGAATAGAAAGGAAACCCACTGGTAAACAACTAAAAGAGTTATTGCATGCAAAGCAAAAAGCATAAATTATTATTTTTCATTTAAATTTATGAAAGTTAACATTTGTTTTTAAACAAAATTATAAATTTGTAAGTATTTAAAAATAAAGTATTAGAAAAAACTAATAATATTTTTGAAATTTTAAGATTATATGGTAAATAGAAGATATTTGTATTTGATATAATTTATTCATTGATAATTAATTTTAATGTTACTTAAATGATAGAATGTTAAAAGAAAGAAAGTCAAACATTCATTTGTTGTCTCCATTTAGTAATTGTGTAACATAGCAAACTTATACTAAGATGTCATATTAAATTATGTTAGTTTTGATATTAGTGTGAATTAACTTATATTATTACCTAAAACTTGATGGCAAGAATATTATCTGTGTTGGTATGTCAGTTTTGTACTATTATTCTACTGTTTAGATAATTATGAGCATTTAAAAGTTGCACACTTCTTTAACAATAGTCACTAAAAAATAGAATAATTGTTAGAAACTTACATTCAAATACAAATCAAGTTCTTATCATTCAATTTCATAGTAAGTCAATTCACACTAACATTATTAAAAAATAACAAAATTATGTGTGAATTTCTAAGAGTTAATTTGCTTGTTACACATATAAGACAGAGACAATAAATTCAAGCATCCTATAAAAATAGTATATTAAAAAAAAATAAACCTATTTTATTAAATATCCTATTATCATAAAATAATTAAAAGATTTTTAATTACATATCAAAAAATTACAAAAAAGATCCAAAATTAATGAAAAACTTTAAACAACTGTGAATTAAAATAGCATTTTTTTTAAAAATTCAATTAAACATTTCAACTATAATAAACCCAAATATTTTAAAACTTCCAATAATAATTAATGGTTTTAACAATCTATTTATATTTATCAAGTTAAATATTTCCTGTTATAAAAACAATGTTAAATACTTTTATAAACTATTTTAAAAATTACTTTTATAAAATAAACAAACATTTATTGAATAAAAATATTATTATTTAATAAAACTTATAAATTTAATTGGCTAAAATAACAACTTAGCCTAACCTAAAATATATTTGTCATATTTTTATGTTTTTAAAATTTTTAATAACAATGTTTTAGATTTCCCCTAACCTGTAACATAAACGAATGATAACTGCTAAAATTTTGCAAACATATTTTCTGACAAATGTATATATCTTTGGTCTAGATGCAGTTTAAGAATAAAAATTCTTAAAAAAATGTTCTAGCGTCTTATATTAATTTTATTTATTACTATCATTTCTGTAGTCTAATTTAATAGTTTAAGTTAAAAAAAAAAATGTTTGTAAATGGCAATGATGAAAATTGAAGTCAAATGTATTTGATGCTAATCAAATTTTAACATTAATACATAATTTAATTTTATTGAGATTTTTTTTTTTTTTTAAATCAACAAGAAAAATAGTATAATAAAAGCCAGGGCTAAAGAGCGTGCAGCCAGAAGAATGTTTTTATTTTAAGCGATTTAGTGATTACCAGGGGCATTAAGGAAGGTGACATAACTGTCCTGGAATTTGCTCCAACCTGTTGTAGTTTGTTGTTGTTCAAATGGTTGAGACTGTTGTGTTTGTGGAGACACAGGGGTTGATACTAAACCACTCTCTTGGCTGGCCTCTTCATCTGCTACAGGTATATTGGCAGCAGGTTTTTCCTTGTGTGAATGAGTGTAATGATAAGTAAGACCAGGTCGAGTCTTGTAACGAGCTCCACATACTGAAACATTAGCATACGCTAACACCCTCATACAGCCGGAATAATGGTCACGACAAACAAAAACACTCAAACGCAAACAAGTTAAACTAGAGTACTAACACGGTGTGACAACCGCAATACAAATTACAAAATCATAAAAAAAAATCCAAGTAGATATAAAATAATAAGTCTTTAAAATAAATTAAGAAAAGAAATATTTTTTACATAAATAAAACACCATATTTAAGTAAAAAGAATGAACTGTTTATAAAAAAAATGTAACATTTCTAAAAAATAAATCTTTAACTTTTTTTTTTTATTATTATTTAACCCAAAATACTATTAAAGATAATGCTATATAAATTTGTTTATGAATTTTTAGACCCTTAATACTAATATTTAAAATCTTTTTAGTTAGAAATTTTAATATTAATTCTTAGTTTAAAGTTACAATAAATTCAAGTTCTTATTTAATTATACCTGCCTATAAAATAAAAGTATGAATCATATTTGTATGAATAATACCACCTCATTGTGCTTTGCTAACACAACATGCATTATGGTATAGTATGCTCATTTGACATAATTGAAATAATTAGGGTAAAAATAAATGCAATAATTTATTGCAAGTTAATAATTAGGTTATGGTAAAGTTTGTGCACGACTATAAAAAAATGTTAAAACCACAATAGGTAATAAAAATGACTTAAATAGCATTAACCAAATATAACACAAATGCAAAAATGTACTTACGGTCGCATGCATATGGTTTATCGGGATCTTGAAGATCAATGAAACCACTCATTCCTTTCTTTCTTCCTCTTCCAGATGTTGAACCCTTTATAACAACAAAAAAGTATGAAATATTAACAATTGCTTATGCCATTTTCCCAAAATTAAAATAAATTACGTAACAGTTGATTACAATTTTAAATTATTATTTTTTAAGTAATGTACAAAAACACATTATTGAAAATCGGAAGATAGGTTGGATTTATACTGATTAAAAACTGAATAAAATTTAATTTGGCATAATTTAATTGAAAATATAAGTGAAAATTTTAAAAATATGCTATAAAATTTAATATATCCAAAAAAAAAAAAATGTAAAAAAAAGTTGAATGAAAAACATGCTAAATAAATGAAATAAAATCAACGTTATTTGTGATTTAAATTGAAACCGTTTTAAATAGCTTAGGTAATATGATAAATAGAAATCCGTTCTCTAATTGTAACTAATTATTGAATTAATAATTATTCTATTCCACTCACAGTGAACTAAATTATGAACATAACTGAAAAACCAATTATATTAGACTAAAATAAAAAAGCATATTTACGCAAAATAATAAAAATAATTCTTAAAATAATATTTGAAATTTTTACTAATTAATAACCAAGTTCATGGCCAATTTTTTTTAAATTTCAAGAAAAACAATACTAAGAACAAATTGCCAAATGTTAATTGTAATTTGATTAAAGCTTGGTACAGATGACTTTAAACATTTGATATTTTTTTTTATCAATTTTATAAACGATATTTGTAATGTTTAAACTCTAAACCTAAGTACTTGAGAATTTTAATAAATATTAAGATATATAAAAGTTATATGTTATTACCGTAAACTTGGAAAATAACAATTTTTTTTGATAAGTTTAGCAAACAATCATTATTTAATACAATATATTCCTATACTATTTATATTTACTTAGTGTTAGTTATAAATATTTTCTCACTTTTGTACTGCGGCGACCACTTGTACTTTCATTATTTGTACTGTTACGACCAGGCTTTCCACCTTTTCGTCTTTTGCGTTTTGTGTAACTTTCTTCATAATCATAATCTGAATCTGCATCAGGTTCTTCAAATCCTTCGATTTCTTGCATTTCAAATTCATCATAATACCATTCCTTAAACAAAAAATGAAATATTTTTATAGCTTTTAAAATATTTAGATAACCTAGGTCTTATAAAATTAATATTACTGATTTATATATTATCATAATCTACGAGACAAAATTCTTTTTAATGCTTACAGAAGATACTTTAGTGTTTGAACTGTTTTGGTTAGGCTGATCATCTTTAGATACTATAGTATTTGTTCCAAGGCTATCTTTACTATCTTCATTATTTGAAATTGCATTTTGACTGTCTCCAGTATGTAAATCAATATTAAATGAATTTGTTCCATCCCCGGAATCACCACCACTTGCTAAACCTTTTAAATAAAATAATTTAAGGTTTACAAATAAATTAACTACATCATGCATTATTTCACAAATAAAATTAATATAGGCATTATTCTAATTGACTAACCAGATTCCTTACGTCTTCCAGAATTGAATACAGAGGAATTTACAGAACTAGTATTACAGGTATTTAACAAATATTGTCTTCTTTTCTTCTTCCACCTTTTGGAAGGATATGTATAAACTTGACCGTTATTTAACCCAGGCATACGTTGTCGTTCTAACATTAACAAACTTGAATGTGTTTGAGCTACACCTAATAAATAGTTATCACAATTACAATTAATTAAATGCACAATACAAATTTTGTTTTATTAACAGAATATTAAAAGAACCATTTATTAAATTATTTCATAGTTACCTGTTTGTGTATCTAAAAATGGCATTCTCAATCGCCGTTCTATACATAATCTTGTATTATAATTCACAGAATTCTCAACAGCTTCACGGTAAGATAAATCATTAATAAAACTAAAATAATAAATGAAATACTATATTAGAAACAATTAATTCTTATTTTTATAACATATAATATATGAGGCTAACTAAAAATACTTTGAACAATATATATTTAATAGATAGGTAGATCCTTTAGATTAATTAAACTCTTATTTTAGTGAAGGATCTTAAGTATTTATAAACAGTGCATTGTTTGAGCTAGTGAACAAGCCGACACTAATGTCGCCCAGTGATAATATTTTATTACTTAGTTGACTATATTTTTAAAGACTGGGCCACACACAATTTATAAAAGAATTTTTATTTTATGTAAAAAAAAATGAGTAATGATTACCATAAATATGTAGGTAGGTATGTATATATAATGTTTATATTATTGTCTATTGATATTAAAATATATAAACCACATTTATTACTGTAGAATATGAAAAAATAGGACGCACGTGAAGTTAGCACCTCTCTCCCACCCCATATCATCAAAATCTAACAGGATAGAGTTAAATCTTTTCCCTCTAGCAAATTTCAAAAATCTATATTATGATAAAATTATGTAGATAATATGTTAATTTATAGAGCATTTATTTTATAAGTAAACTCCACTTATTATAATATACAGGGATTAATTAATATTATTATTTAGTCATATATTAAAATATACTAATATGTAATGATAAGTCGTTATGATTAAATTACAATGCAACAATTTTGTGTTCATCATACGAATGAAATCGTAAAATATTTTGTCTTTGTTTTGAATTGATTATTTATTTTTTAATACTTAATAAATTAAGTTCTTTTAACAAAATAATTATCTATTTACATAATAAATTTATTTAAGCCAAACTACCTTTATGTTTTATTATCAATAAATTTGAAAAAAATACTTAAAATTATTCTTGAACTGTATATATTTTTAATTTACCTATGATTACCTATGTTCTTATCTTTAAGTTTTCTAAAAGTCAATTCATTTTAATATTACAGCAAATAATACACAATTGGAATTGTTGAAAATACATTTTAGTATATCATGCGTAAAACAAGAGACAACACGTTTAGGTATGGCATCTTCTTAATTGGAAATTAAAAAGTATTAGGTACTATTTAATTTCCTACATTGAAAGATAATTATATATATTATAATATAATAATTAATTACTTATTAGCTATATGTACTTATTAATTGTATGAAATATATTAAAGCATCATTATAAATTATAATATTTCAGAATATATTACATAGAGCCCTGTTGCTTAATAATGTTCAACTGATAAATGTTATGAGACTTTGGAGTTAATAAAGTTTAGTTAACATTATCTAATTAAGTAATACTGAGTAGATATATGAAACAACTATAAATACAAGTTGAGAATTAACCAACAAAATCTTTCTAAAACTCTTAACGATTAACATTGTCAAATGCCTTTAATCAAACATAGTACGTACACATGTATAAAACTAGAACAAGGAATTTCTTAGCAATAGTAGTTATTAAAAAAAAATGCTTAAGACAGCACTATAAACAATGTATACCGTATACATAAAATCAATGACAACACCAACACACTTCAATCGCGTCAAAAATATTTTGTACGATTAAAACAGACTTCTCTGATCCTTATTCTTAAAAACTAGAGAAAAACAAAACATGATAGTTTACCAGGAGACGCTTTTTACGAAATTGGGTTTTATCTCAACGACTGCCATGATGGTGTTCTGTCCCGGAGTGATGGTCACCGCGACGTGTTACGACAGCAGCATATGTGTTGGCGGTAGCCGGACCGGATGCTCAGTACAGACCAAATCGGACGTTGGTGACAATGGCTATGTGCAAGCAATTGAAATAACACAGGATAAACGCGCTTACGAAATCGCTTAGAACGATCGATTGATTGAACAGAAAAAACAGAAACGCGACACAACGGACGATCGGGGGGGGACGAAAATCTTGTGTACGTCGAACGCTGAACGATGGCGTATGCCGTATTGATCGTACGAATGTACGATATGTGCTAGGCGTACAGTCGTACGGATGGCTTCGCACGACGTTTAGGCGTCGGCTTCCTGCGGATCGATCGGCGACGACGGCGTCTGAGTCTGCGTAGGTCTATTGCGTCCGCGTCTGTTGTGACGCGGCGTACCAACGTGACGTATAAGACGCGACTCTTCCGTGACAAACGGATTGTTGTCGTGCGTGCGTGCGTGCATGCGTGCGTGCGTGCGTGCATACGATCTGCCTCCAACGAAACACGGCCAACTGGCCCGTTCTCGCTTTTTCGGTCGCTACGCGTAAACACATCGTTGTTTTTGTCTCAACCTCACCTCCTTAAACCTCGTACAGCATTGCGGTTATATAAAAAATATTATTGTCTATGGACTACATTCCTACATAATCCGATTATCGCCTATTTATCGCGAATCGCATTAAAATATTAGTAAGTATGATTTTAATATAACAAACTCCTACTCATACAAAAAAGTAGAACAAGTAGATACATACCTATAATAGAAGCGGAAAATCATAAATAATTGTGTTTAACTAAAGTTTAATCGTTTAATGGGTAGCTTAAAAAAAATTGTATGGAGTAAAAATGTTGGTACCCATTAGTATTTATACGATATGCAAAAAAAAAAATAATAGGTAATTGGGCGACAACTATTATTTGTAAAATGATGATGTTTAAAATTATTATATAATTATTTCTTGTGTTTAATTTTGTTATTTATATAATAATTATATATATTTATATTATTTCGTTCGATCATTTAAATTTGGAAGTACAATTGATTATTGAAATTTTCTACAATGGGAAACCCGTAGTCCACTTTAGGTACTCATAAGCCGGCCGCACACCAAAAGAGCAAAACTCTGTTAGTCATCGTTAGCCATTTGACATTTTTGTTTAAGTCAACTTATAATAATTTGCTTTATGTACCTATGCATACACATCAGTTAGTCAAGTCAAGGCAAAACAAGACAAACAGATTACCTAATAGCAAAAGAAGTGTAATAATACGAAAAGGGCTTATATATATTTAGTATTATAATATGTTACCTTTTTATTCTTTCTGACAATGTTTTCTCTATTGATGTTTTAAAGGTAACCGGTATTCGTTAAGAAATTACAACACTTATTTTATTTGATTAAACTCATTAACTTTATTATAAAACTTTTAATACATAACATATATTTAATTTTTACTATTAACAATCTTCAATGCTTATGTTTCTTTGTATATACGATCTGCGTAGTTTTTTACTCTCGTTTTACTCTCTATACAAAAAGACAATAAGGACACTGTGCGTGTGACCAGCGGTGACCGGCCTTTTTATAATTAATATCCTGTGTGTGTATGTGTGTGTGTTTTATCAATGGTTCTTATGATCCTACTATAGGTCATTTTATTACATTGTAATTAAATATTTAATTTTTGTCATACATGATTATATTAATAAATGACTTATAAAATAAAGGTCATTATTATGGGCGAATGTAAGTTCCTACACGAGAGTAGCAGGTAAAAAAAATACACACGTTAGTTCCTACACGGCGGAAAAAGGTACGTATGTAAGTTCCTACACGGTAAAAACCAGGTACCTATGTTAGTTCCTACATGGCGGAAAAAAGGTGTAAATATGTATATTCGATGTATATACGAATAAATACATATATGATGATAATACAATATAATAAAAATCGTATAATGCATTTTAATTTTAAAAATTGAATATAATATAATATAAAAAGTAAAAAATATAATAAAAATGAAAACTTATATTTTATGAGGTTTATTTCTATAACTTAATAATTTAACATAATCGTATTTATTTATTTTGCTTATTCTATAATCTGAAATTTTTTCATTTATAAAATCTTCTTTTTCGGCGTATTTTTTACTGATTTTTGGTTTTGGGTTATTAATTGTAGTTCTTATTTTTATATACGTATTTACTTGAAAGAGTTTGAGAATTTCAATAATTTTAAAAATATTTGGATGTTGGTGATAAAAATTAGAGTTAAAATCTGAATGAAAACTTTCACAAGCGTTTGTCGTATGGACTCTATCAGAACATTGCCGCGCCCACATTTTCGGAGGAAAGATTGATTCATTTGATATATAATTGTCTACCAAATAATCACAAAATTCGGTTATAGTTGCATTTTCAGGTTTGTCTGCCATAAAATATTCTGTAAAACATTCTGCCACTTCCTCTGGATTGAGAAAAGGAAGTCCAAAAATATGTACTAACCATTTTCCTACATCGTCATTTGCAGAATTAAATTGTGGTGCGTAACCTAAATTTTGAATTTTGCGGTACCAAGCTTGGCCCAAATGAAAACGACATCCAAACACCTCTGTTTCCGGAAAAATTTCAAAAACTGCTTGATGCATTGCTATTTCAAAATCTAAAATAATTTTTTTAGGTATTACTCCAGCTATTTTTATTGTTTTTAATAATGCAATGTAAGTCTTTTTTTCTTTATTTGGCAATAAACAAAACATTAACGGAATGTACACTCCATTTTTAATGCCATGAATCGTGTATAGTTGCGTATAATATTTATCACTATAGTTAAAAGTACCATCCATATATAAAACATCTAATTCTTTTAACAAATCTATATTTGTTTTACATGAAAAAATAACTATTTCATTTAGCGCGTCATTTTTATATAAAAATAACTCACCTCTATTTGTTTTTATGTCTAATAAACTTAATATTTCGTGAACTTCTTTTCTTGATGTTGGCAGTTTGGGGAAACAATGCATTCTTGCATTATGAATATTCCTTGCTATGAGTTTTAAGTCGGGTGCAATCAAATCTCCTTCATTAACATAATTTGATACTTCTTTTCGTATTATTTTTGACGGTTTTTCAACTATAGAGTCTACAGCTTTTTTTTTGCAAGCATTGCTTATTTGTTGCCGATTTAAAGTGCTATCACTTGCATGGCGGTGATCAAAACACGATTTATCTGTATTAATTAATTGGGCATTTTGACCCAAAGTATAAACTTTTGCACTACACTTATTTATTACACAACGCCACGTAATTTCATTTTTTTTAGATGTATGATGCTTAAAAAATTTAAAATTATTCAAAACTAGTAGTTGTTTGCCTTTTTCACTCAACATGAATGATACATTCTCGCTCATTGTGAATTTGTATAACTGTATATGATTAGTATAAACGGATATGTACGGACACTCAGATGTTTCGAACAATACTAACAAAACTTTTAAGAGAAATAACTAGATGTACATTTTACTGTGTATAGTTATAAGACTTATAACTAATTTTAAGATTATCAAATCAAAATCAAGTTCTGTATCATTTTTATCGATGATGAAAAGTCATAAATATTTTGTATGTCAAAAATATAGATAATAAGATATTTTATCTTTTTCCTTACGTCGAGTCGGTATAGGGGAAAATATTATCAGCTTGTAGCTTGTCGTATTTTCCAGTGATTTCGTATATACATTTATAAGTATTATTTATAAGTATATTTGAATGTAGTTACCTATATTAAATAGCTATACCAGCGTATAAAGTTTCAATAACAAATCTAATTATTATAATATGCTTATTTGTGAAAATGTGTTATGCGATTTGTATTATATAATATATAATCATCATATATTTATTCGTATATACATATTTACACATATATACACATATAGGTACACTTACATATGTACCTTTTTCCGCCGTGTAGGAACTAACATAGGTACCTGGTTTTTACCCTGTAGGAACTTACATATGCCCGTGTAGGAACTAACATATGTAATTGTTTACCTGCTACTCTCGTGTAGGAACTTACTATTCCCCATTATTATTTATTTTATTATACCTACAGTATATAAATATTTAATTATGATTGCTTAAAAGCACATCATTATAGAAGTGAAGTCTTATTTAGTCACCAACATGTCTTCTGACGAAGAAGAAGTTATTATCCCTATTTTGTGGTCTTTGATGTTAGAAATCGAAAAGAATGAAAACTAAAAAATAATGTAGGTTCATTATTTAAATAAAAAAGTACTACAAATAATTTAATCAAATGTTTTTTACATGAATTACGTAATGACGAGCTAAAATTTAAAAATTTTACAAGAGTAAGTCCTAAAACATTCGATTATATTTTGAATATAATTTCTAAAAAAAATTCAAAAAACTGATACTAACTTCAGAAAGAATATCAAACCGGATGAACAATTATTAGTGACTTTGTGATAAGTAAAATTTAATTTAATTAGTATCGAAATCAAGCTATAGAGAAAAAATTTATTTTAATATCAATATATTTACATAATAATATTAATAGGTACTTATTTTATAAAATAAAAATATAATACCATATTTTTTTTTAAGATACTTTTTTGTAGGCTAGTATAAGTATCACACCTTTATTTTAATGTAATAATCTAAATTATACTTTAATTCTTATGAAATACATTCAACTTCTTAATTTTTTAATTATTTTATACATTATTTAAAAATTATTTATATGTGTTCTTAATATGAGTTTAAACTTTCTGAAGAAGACAATAATTCTAGACTTTTAGAATAGAGAAACTGTGTAGTTTGAAACGTGTTTTAATTTAATGGTTTAGGCTGAATAGTATGTTGTTACTTGTTGGATTGGCACATTGTTTGAATATATTGGCAAAAAGTTACTTGTATATATTGATGTTGCTAAAGATGATGTTTCTTGTTCGTCAAGTAGTTGATCCAGTGTACTTAAAATAGTGTTTTTAAATCTACGCTGGTTTTTATTATTGAGCTTTTTTTAATCTGGTATTAAACATTTTAATAATACAGTATGCAAGAAGCAATTTAATATACTATGTGATAATCCGACTATTTCGACATATTTCATCTGGTCATCAGTCGTTCCAACAAATATCTACAAATTGTTTTCGATTTTATTTTAGTCCTGGTTCCTAACTTTAATTTTTATATTTATTTTAATGTGTTGTTTTTTATACTTATATAATGATATGTATACTGAATATTATTATTGTTATTGATTCATTTTTTTATCTAAAAATAATAAGTTTAACTAATAAATTATTTGTATTTGTTTATGTGTTGTGAGTTTTGGTGGTATTGTTAGATATAGGTAAGGTTTTGTATATTCAATTCTAAAAAGTATTTTTAGGCATATATTGATATATGTTGATTTTGATTACGACGTATCACGTGAAATTTTTTTTTTTTTTTAATGTCGCCCAGTGATAATTGCTAAAAATATCCACTGAAAAACATGTAATGTATAATATAATCATTACATTAAACAATGTTTTTTATAGTAAGTCACGAAATCAAATGACTTGAAAGTTTTAAAAAAATTAATTTTGCAGTTGAATTTTAAATTTTACTCATAATTTTTTTTGATAATTCATAAAAATTAAAACCTATAATTATGTTCCTATAGGGGACACCTTATTTTGCTATTAAACATTTTTAAGACTGCAGCCCTCCTAACTTAAAGAACTAGTTATGCCTATGATCTTATGTAGGTAATATTCACATCAGTGGATATTTTTAGCAATTATCACTGGGTGACATAAAAAAAAAAAAATTTGCACACATCATAATTAAAATCAATATATGCGCCTAAAAAATACTTTTCAGAATTAAATATGCAAAACCTTACTTATATCTAACAATACCATCAAAACTAACAATACATAAACAAGTACAAATAATTTATATGTTAAACTTACTCTTTTTAGTTAAAAAAAGGAATCAATAACATACAGTACCTATAAATTTTGTTATATAAGTATAAAAAACAACATATTAAAGTAAATATAAGAATTAGCTTGTAGAAACCAGGATAAAAATAAAATCGAAAATAATTTGTAGATATTTATTGGAACGATTGATGACCAGATGAAATATGTCACATTGTCGCATAAAATAAATTGTTTCTTGTATACTATATTATTCTATGAGTACCTAAGGAGATCGTTCACACGGGTTTTCCATTATAGAAAATTTCAATAATTATTTGTACTCCCAAATTCAAATGATCGAACAACTAAATATATGGTCTATTGGGCGACAAAAAGTTTTCTCTAGGTGACATTTTTGTCGTTCAGTATATAAGTTAAAATATCCACTGATTCACATAGTATACGCATTAATAATTAATAATGTATAAAAATTCTTTGCTTTACCTGAATGCCAATTAAAATATAAAATCTAATATAATAATTAATAACATTCAATATCAAAAATTGTTATAAGTATATTTTATAATAAAATAAATTTACGTTAAATTACTTTTTTCTAGATTTATTTTTTTTCATATTGAAAATACTAAACACATTTTTCTTAGAAGAACCCATTTTAAAGTCATAACTATTTTCTTTTTAAATAAAAAATTATTAACTCCGAGTCTCCGAATTCTGGATTAAAATAGTGTTATTTTACTTCAGTATAACCAGGCACCAATACTGACAGCTATTCATTATAAAGTATATACAAATTGTTTCTTCGAGAGTTTTATATAGCTTTATAAATTATAAGTATAAATACAATATCTACGTTATCGACTATCATATATTTATTATTTATATCTAGCATTATCATGCTTATGCCTATAGTCTAAAATAAATATCTCTCCACGTATCCATTCAATTATGTATATTTAAAAAAAAGTTTTAAATATATAATGTAAATCCAATGTTCTAAAAACAAATCATAAATACACGTCTTGTGTCTTATAATATAATATAGACTGTAGTGTTATTGATATAAATATAGTAAATATGATCAAAATACCTAGTTAAGTATTTTTTAATTTCCAGATTGTCTATAAAGAGATCAATCACATTTTTAATATCTCAAAGAAATTTGAATAGTCACTAACGTGTCCTGAGGTTAAGCATCGGTCGGCGTCGCTAGCTATCGGATGGATGACCACCCGAGTTTTTAGTGACGAATCCATGGCGCACACACATACACACACGTGTTCCAATCGTATTAATCAAACTTTACAAATAAACCTTACATAAAAAACCTATTGTTCCTATCTACAGCTAATGGCCGTAGTTGCCGGGCATAAATAAGATCAATAATAAAAAAAAAAAAATTATAAATTGTTTATGGCATTTATGTTCCTATAATATTATAATATTTATAATTTAGTAATGACCATACATATCACTAGGTACTGTATTATTTATTTATTAATAAAAAAAAAAAAACGAGCTTGTTATACCTATTTTTTTAATTTTTTTATAGTTAGTACCTAAGTACAATATAGGAATGTATGATTTTAAAAATAAATAAAATACTATTTTCCTAATTGATTAGTTCATTATTGACATATTTTTTAGTGGTTAATATGTATTCGATGAAACTAATGGTTATATACCAAGCTTAAAAAATAAGAAAAATGTAGAAGTATAAAACTATATTATACAAATGTTTAAAATTACAATTAAAAATTAGTAATACTAATAATAATTAACATTATTTAGTTTTAAATTTATTTAAACTATAAAACTTTATGGACTTGGGTTATTTTAATTCTTTGTAAATTAAATCCGTTTGTCTAAGTAGAGAGATTTATGTGACCGTCGAGCAAAAATCATAACATTAAAAATTAAAATCAGGTGATTTTTGTAGTTATCTAATCTCTTTATTTTTGCTGAATGCTTGTATTATCTATGATAATACGACAATGTGTTATCAAATATCAGTAATCGATATTATAATGTAGTAATATCTGTCAAGAAAAAACGAAATTCGTTTTTTTACTTTTAAATATCTCTCTCGAGAGTAAATGTATCAACGATAACAAGCTTCATAATATTATATTGAGTTGACGAGTTCCTTTGATACAAGTAAAAAAAACCATTGTATATTCATAATGGTGATTCAAAGGAAAGAGCTAATTGTCTTACTTAAACCTTATTATTGGGTTAACATAATACTTACGTGTTCGTATGTGTTTTGCAAAAAGACTGATATTTTTTGTCAATATTTATTCTCGCCAACCGAACAGACTTGCGAACTAGATGCTGTAAGTTACTTTTTTGTTGAACAACCAATTAAAGATTATGATTTTAAGTTTTGTATTGTTAAAAACTAATTTTCGTTATTTACAGAAAGAATTGGAAATATTACTATTTCTGATGATTGTAGTAATGATTCGGACAAGAAAAGCTGGAAGTGTCACAATGTTAGCTTATCTTTCATCCAGTTTTTTGTATACTAAAGGAGCAAATGTATTATTGTGGTTTTATGCAGATGTTCGATATGGTTTACTCTTCACTGCTCTTGTTATTGGTATGTTATTTTATTTCTTTTTCAATAGAAGTCGATTACTGTCAAAAATCATTGTACGTATTTTCAAAAATTTTGAAAACTAATAAAAAAAATATCTAGGGTGGTTTAAGTAATTTCTGAAATAAGCTATATACTAATTCTTATTTACCAAAGTTTTCTTAAAATTTTACACTCATGTTTATTTCTTCTAACTTATATTATTTTTTTTTCTTATCATAATATCTATTTAAGTAGATTTAATAACATTATTGTATTATTGATATATTGAGTTATGATGTTACCATGTATCAAAATATTGGCTTTTAAGGTATATTAATTATTTTTTTTTTTTGAAATTAGTATTTTATTTTTAGCTGTAAGTTTATGTCTACCAGAGCCAACATATTCAGGTCCAGAAAATGTATTGTACTTCCGATCATTGGCCACTTTGGAAGAAGCCCTTAAAGAAGATAAACAGCATAATGTATGGCTTATTTGTTTTTATACTGTTTGGAATCCTACGTGCGCTAATTTTGCTCCAATATTTTCAAAATTATCTGTTGAGTATGTATTAATTATGAACAAAATCAATAACTAGTATAATATAATAAATTTACATATAATATATATAGCATATGAAATAATAGTACATTCTGTAAAGATTTCATGGTTATATAATGTATATCATAATATTTAGGAATGAAAAAATTAGAATATAATATACACGAGATCTAAATAATTATATACATCATATAAATAAGATTAGGGGTAGCATAGGATAATAATAGGCTTTAAAACTCTACAAATGTATTGATTTATATAACAAAAAAAAAAAAAAAAAAAAAAATTGAAATATTTAAATTTAAAAAATTCATTTTTCTTTCTTTATTAAAGGATATTAACAATATGTTATTTTAAGCAATGAGTAAGTTGGTTACAGGAATACAAATAATTTACAGCATATGATTAATTTATGATTTATGGAGGTAATTGTTGACTAACAATACCTCAAAATATTTTTTATTTTTTTATTTTTTATTTTTAAAGATCAATTCTATTTAACATTATCATTGTTTTTTTTTTTTAACTTGATTTTTATAATATTTTATTTTTAATCTTTATTAATACTAACATTAGGTTTGTTTAAGGTATTAACACTTGGTAGTAAAAACTTAAATTTCAACAACTACTGATTGATGAATAACTAGTTAATTTTTCTCTTTTATTTAGGCTATTAATGTAAAAGTTACATTGGTAATTAGTAATTTGGTTTTGTCATTGATTTGAGTATTTATTTCATTCTTATTTTTTGACTAAAGTTACTTGAATTATATTTATATGAATATGCTTCTCATTCGCAAGAATAATTTTATAATATAATTATTTTAAGTGCTATTTATGTTTCTTTAGATCTATTAATAAAAGTCCAATACATAGATATGATATTTAAGTTTGGAAATTTGGAATAACAAAATAACAACCTTGGAGTACTATTTACTTTTAACAAAATTATTTTAGAGCTTTTAATAAACATTATAGTAATTCATATAAGTATAATAATGAAATAATAATAGTAATATAATTATCTCTAATAGCACAAAATAAATACATATTTCTATTTTAAAGTTTAAAAATAATGATAATTTTGCTATTACAAATAAAACCGATGAAACTTTTTTTAACGTAGAAATAGATTTGTTATCACAAATTCTACCTTTAGAAAATAAAAAAGTATTAATTATTAACATCTATCTTCTGGAGCTTCCATGTATCTATGTCCACTCTTGCATATAATTATTAATTAAATATTCATAAATCATAATAAATGATAATTATTATTATCATAGTTAATTATTATTAACTGTTTATATGTTATATACTAGTGGATTACCTATCACAGCTTTACCCGAAAAATTTTAATAGGCATATAATAAAAATAATAATTTATGACAATAGTTTTGCTTTAAAATTTTTCTATAAACTACGTTTAATGTATTTCTGTTTGTTGCCAAAATGTTTAAACTTGTGGGCGTATTGACTTTGGAGCATATCACATAAAATTGTCCATGTGAAAGAGAGCCTAAAAATGTGAGCTAGAGGTTCACGGCTTATAAGTGTTTACTTATCAATGTATATAGCAGAGACAGTCAAACTTTTTTCAGCCGCGATCTATTAAAAATATACTTCACCTTTGAGGATCGATTTCGATAAAAAAGTTTTTATTATTATTAAGTTACTATACCACCATAATTAATTTTTGTGAGCTCAGCCTAAAAATAAATTCTAGCACGATCGACTTTAAAATTGTTTGCGACCGACCGGTCAATCGCGATCGACTGTTTGGCCGCCCCTGGTATATAGCTTAAAATTTACATATATTTTTTTGATTTCAACCCCTTTAAATTAAAATTTTGAAAAATCCTTTCTTAGTGCTCTGTAAGATTATAATACTAATCTATCCTCAAAATTTCAAATCGATAGTCTCTAATAGGTTTAGCTCTGCATTGGTTATAAATCAATCACTTAGAAAAGTCTTGTTTATATATTATATATAAATATTATAAAGGAGCAATTCTCAACCTTTTTATATCTCAGCAACTTTTACATATTTTTAAAACATTCATGCATCATTAAGTACATATTGTTTATTATTAATAATAATTTTTGTTTTTTCTTCTATCTTGTTTCAGTTATTAATTTACTGTATACCACTTGTGATAATCATTATACAATATTATTGATACTGTTAGAGACCATAATTTATTTACATTTTTTTGTACATTAACAAATATTAGTAAGAAAGAATTATTGAAATGTATTTAATCCCAGGGTCTTCTCTTGTATTTACTTATGCATACCATTGTAATGAGTTTGAGATTTTGAATTAAATTAAAAATTGAAAAATTAAAATATTTCTAAGTGAAATACATTTAAAATATTTGTATTAACATTTTTCAATTTTTTTTTTTTTTTTTTATAAATTTATTATGATACTATTTTGATCTTTTTTTAAGTTTGGTGCATTATGTTTAATCCAAAAATAGTGAATAATTTACATTAATTAGTGATTTAAAAGAATAGTATTATCAAAAAATATAATTTTTACAAATATACTATTTTATTAGTATATTTTTATTCTTATATGTCAATTAATGTTGAAATAAAAACTGTATTCCAGATATGATACTAAGTATCTTAAATTTGGTAAAATAGATATAAGTCGATATCCTGATGCTGCTGTTAAATATAATATTAGCGATTCATCTTTAAGTCGACAATTGCCAACTGTGATAATGTTTAAAAATGGAGTTGAAGAACTTAGAAGACCAACATATGATAATAAAGGAAAAATATTTAAATTTTTTTTTACAGAGGTACATATATTATAAATAGATTCAGTACAAGAAATAAATATATTTTTCTATATTTCAGCCTAATTTCAAAGCAGTTTTTGATTTGAACAATGTGTATAATCAATGCAAATTGGCAGATAAGAAGAAACATAGTGATGTAGATGAAAAATTGAAAACTAATAAGAAAGAAAAGAAAACATAAGTCATTTTGAATAGCAACAAAATGTATTAAAACAATGTTGGCGTGTGTTTGTGTTATGATTTTATTATTGGTATGTTATTGTCATTAATATTGAGCAAAAATATGTGAATGTTCTGTTCTTGAAATTCAATCGTTCTTTGTAAAATTGATGATGTATTGAAAACAGTGAACTTTTGAAGATGTAGTTGAGATCATGAGATTATCAGGGATTAGCATTTTTTTTAGTTTTTTTAACTTAAATTAATATTATTTTAAAGCTTTACACTTTCTATCAATGATTTATATTCATTTTTAGTTAAAATTTAATTTTATACAATATTATATTATATTCTATACCTCGTATTATTTATCACTTGAAAGATATTGTTTAGATAAACTATGAAAAATGTATTTAAACTTTTGTTTGTATTAAAACTTTTTAATAACATTTGGCAATTAAACAAATGTATAACATATGCATTTTTTTTGTAAATTGAAAACTAATATAGTAATAAATATTATTTATTATAGGGTCTCCAAACTACTGTATTTTAAGGAAAATTGTATAGGCAACTTCTTAAACATTCAGCAATCAGTCTTATCGTTGATAGTCATAAACTGTCATTACTATTTATAGTAGTAATCTGCTTACAATAATATTTCGCTTACCACTACCCTGCCTTAATTAGATGTCAGTCACAGTAGATGCGTTGTATCTTCTTGGAATAAGTTCTGTTTATTATTTGGTCTGTATATAATAATAAGATATGAATTTTTTTTTTTTCTGGCACATCCTTCTGTAGAAGATTATTATATTGCTAAATAAAAATACTATAGGTATTGTATAAACAAATTAATAATTGTATACCTACTTAAAGTAATATTTTACTGAGTTAAATATAATAAGTAAATAATAATATAATGATGATATATAACT